GGCAAGGTAGATGGTACGACGTTAACTCGCGGCGCACGGAATCGGGTTAATCGATTTCCGGGTAACGTACAGGCACGAGACACACGTGCGCCACGTATACGCTGCGCCTACGGGCGCCTACAAGGGAAGGAGATCGCGCGCGCGAGTGAGAGAGAGGAACGGGGGGAGGAAAGAGAAGAAAAGAGAGGCGCTCGTTTGAACATATCGAGACCGATGCGGACAACATCGCGCGACACGATAAAAAGAGCAGCAGCCGTGGACGATGCTCCGATTTGTAGCTCACGTAAAAAAAAAAAAAGTAAAAATTCCTACGGAAAATGTATATGCGCGCGCTTACATAACGTCCAAAAGATTTAGCTCTTTCAATATATATATATATATGCTGTAGTTGCGTTACTATATACATACAATAAAGAGAGATGCACCGATCGCGTCGTAATTAACGATCATTTCTCCCCGATTCGAGTAGCGTGCTTCCCGTGTCTATATATACGACGCGCGTATTACACAGCCTCGTGGCCGCGTTTAATTCTCATTAAGTCGTAAGTCGCCAAACCCCGGACTACCTACACCCCGGCGCGGCAAGTAAGCTCATAATCGTCTCGCTCCTCTCCGGGGCTGCCGCCGCTGAAAGCCGAGAGAAAGCGCCGAACTTCGGGGGTCAAAGTGGAGGAGGACTCGAAACTCGTCGTGACGTGGCCCGGGGCGATTTCCGGAGGGGGAGGGGGAGCCGGAGGGTGGCGCGCGCGATGGCAGGTAGATAGGCAAAGGAAGAAGAAAGCGGCGGTTCCGGGGCGCGGTATTTATAATGCGGTATATGCGCCCCGTTTGCGGCGGCCGTCGAGAGACGGACGGCGCGCCGCGCCGCGTCGCGCGCCCGAGGTGGTCGGGGTGCTCCGGGGCGCGGCTTTTATGCGATGTAATTCCGATGCAAATCTGTCTGTTGAACTTTTCACCCGCGTTACATCGCGTCGTCGCACCCACCCCCGGCCTCTGCGGTCGTGCGCCGGGGCACTCTAGGTTGTAGTTCGTATATAGAATACACCGAGTATTACGTATTATTCTCCCTTCGAGGCCGGCGAATATATATATATATATATATATATCGCGAACTGTGCATCCAAACACTCGAATTCGTCGAGCTCCATTATCTATTTGCGGTGCGATTTGCTGAATTGGAGCTGTTGACCTACAATGATTCCAATTAGTTGGATTTAAGTAAGGTTGATAGTATTCTATATTGCCATTGTCAGATTTTACCCTCCGCCATACATTTAATAATATTTTAACGTTCAATTGCAATTAAGTTTTTTTCTATTATTCATCGATGTATTCCATCCTTTTGTGAAATAATATAACTGATAATTCTAAATATAAAAAAATATATTATTCCATCGATACTTCGTGATCGCACTATTTATTTTACCAAGAGAAAGCAGAAGTATCCGTTAATTCACATTGATCTACCTAATATAAAAATGCCTTTCTCGCCGTAACATCAATTTTCATAACAATGTGACATGTCAATGGTACACGTTACTTCCAGATTAATATTTTCGCGACAATCCCCTACCTGGGATATTCGTGCCGTGCGACGTTATCGAAAACGGAGGCGGCGGGATAAATTTTTGCGAGGACACAGACGCGGATGCGCGTAACAGACGCGAATATCCATCGTCGTTCAGTCATTCACCCTCGAGAATCTCGCGACCGTCCCGTCGAATCCATTCGGTCTGGGGTGCGCGTGGATCGACGCTGGAAAGGTCGTCGTTTAAATCACATGGGCGGGGCTGAGGATCCCGGATACCGTTCAGGTGCCGCCATCTGCACACCGCAGGGCGAACAACCCCTTGGGCTGGCATTCCCCATCCCTTCTCCCTCCTGATCACCGAGGGATGGAATCTTGTTCACTCGGACTTGCATAATCCTCGCACGTGGCCGCCCTTCGATGATCCTTTTTTACAATCTTATTTATATATTAATTTCTTATGCCTTCGAGCCTTCTTTAAATCCACCTATTTTTATCTCGATGCATCTTAAAGCCTTTTATCACTGCATATCCATTGTTTATACGTCATAAAATTATAAGTGAAATTTTCTTCCGAATTCCAACACGAATTATAGATTATCTACATTAATGTGAACTTGAAAACTAATGCGAAACAAATTGTAAATTATATTAAAAAAAGAGATTTAAATATTTGTATTAATAATTAAAAAAATAATACGAAACAACCCCTCTTCCAAGTGTCCGTAATTACATTCTTACGTTTCTCACTTCGATAAAATCTTCACGTAAAAATCTTCGAAAGAATGCGAAGGCGGAGAGAATGCGAAATATCCATAAGATCCCAATCTCTGGTTCTTATAAATCGCGTGTGAAAAATAGCGGAAAAAAAAATTTACACGGACCGGCGCTGCCTTTATGTATCGGCACTTCGGCGTCGTTTAAATGGCTTCGACGTGCATTTTTCGAATTTCTCGTGCTGTTTACCTGCCGCGCGATCGCTTTTTTTTTTTACGATCGCGCGACGACAATGGTGCACACCGCGCCGTTCGCCCCGCACCATTGCCCCCTTTCTCTCATTGCGCGCACACACATACACACCTACACATGAGGAGGTCGCGTCTCGCATTCCGCGGCCTCGCGGAAAATTGCGGCGAAAAAATTTCCTGCGTTGTTTTCACGTATCCCCCGGACGGGTCTCGTAAAACTTTTCCCGCGTGCGCGCGCGTGCACGCGATTCCGTAAATCTCGCATCTTTTATTCCAATGAACGCGCGATATTGCCTCGGCTTACTCGTGCACGGGGCGATTCGCACGCGCCGCGCGGCCGAATTATTTCGTGCGAGGGGAAAAATAACAGAAAGGTCAATTGCCAAATGTAATTCACACCTCTCGTTGGAGCAACATCCGCTGGCGGATGAGATTTCTCCCCAGCGGTGGACGGAGCGAGAGGAAGAGAGAAAGAGAAAGAGCGCGACAGCTCGTATTGATTGGTAATTTTAAAAATAATATTATTTCAGTTTTAGGATAATGAAAGAAGAGTTTAATGAAACGTATATATTACAGGGTGTATATTACCCTCTGGAAAAAAAAATTGCAAAAAGCTAATCTTAAAAACATAAAACTCGCTTACTACGTTTTTTGTAGTATTCTCATGAAAGCGCGACGGTTCATGATATTAATATATTGACACGAACATCGACGGAATCGCGCGCGGACTGTAAATGCAAACCCGGGATAAATTCAAAAGGAATCTGCAAAAGAGAGAGAGAGAGAGAGAGAGAGAGAATGGCGAGAAGGGCGCGGCTCGGAAGGGAGTGACATTCTCGAAAACCAAAGTACGCGTTGACAGTACATGGTGCGGTATATACACGTATGCAACACACAACAAAGGGTGGCGAGCGGAGGCGCCGTCGCTTCGTGACCCAAAAATGACTGCGCGACCGAATGCCACGAGTGCTCGGGTGCAATTCGCAAAGGTGCGGGCGGAGACCACTAAATTCATGGTGCGCTAATCAATAATGTATTTAGTGTGCGAAACTTCGTGTCGGGATATATTCCAGTTGGGGACCAACCGCCGGGCGAAAGGTGGTGCCCGAGCATTGTTCTGCGGCATCCAGGCCCGTGTCCGGCGGTCGGGTCCGGCTACGTAAAGTCCAGCGGAATAATTACGAGTTTCGCCATTGAATCAGGAATGTACAAAACAAGGCAGAAACAGCCGACCTGCAATTCCATTATTAATTCAATTAGTGCTAGACGCATACTGATCGCGGGATTAATGCATCCCGCAGACCATAATCTCATTCTGCCATCTGAACGACTGAAGCCGGCCCGATATCGCGTTCAGTATACACGGAGTATCTCTGATTGATCGTATAACCCCTCACGAGGTACGAACTTTTATTGATTCGGTTATTAATTTCTCGACTTATATAATAACAAAAACACGCAGATGTTCTTCATAATTTTTCAATGATCACGCTGGATGCAGAATTACGATTTCAAGAATACAATTTTGAATAAAGAAGAAATATTATTCTCCGTTTAATTAAGAGCCGATCTTCTCTTGAACTTAATTTTAATTCGAGACAGACCGTTATTTAACGAATAAGATGAGAAAAATGCTAACACGGTATAAAACGGATCTTGGTGCTTAATAATATTTTTATATGTGAATCTTACAATTTCTCAGTTCAAGACAAATTGTAAGATTTCACATATAAAAATATTATTAAGCCACGATCCGCTTTTGTCATCTTAATTGTTTGAAACAATTTGCGATCGATTCAGATACTTAATTATATAACGAATATTTGAAATTTAAAAAAGAGACTGCGACAAAAATTTGGCGGAAATACTTAAATCGAAGAATCAAGATAAAATAAAACGTAGAAAGTAAATTTAAAATTTTATGTATAAATCCATATTTTTTAACAAGTGGTTTTGAAACGCGATATATTGCTGCGATTTGGAATATTTTGGCAACGTAATTTCTACAAACAAAACATTTGCGAGAAGCGCACAAACACGGCGAGCACAATATGTTCCGCTTTGTGGTGTTAACAATTTAAATAATTATATATTCGCGCGAATAAAATATTGATAGCATGCAATCCATTAGTCCTAAATGAAACGAGTAAGTTTAAATAAAATAGTGGAAATGAAAATGGCATTCAAACGCTCGTGTAAACGTTGATAAATATTAAAAACGTTTAATATCGTATAGAAAAATTTGAAAAAAAAAATAAAGTTCTCCGATTATTCGCGCGCCACGCTGAATGTGATTCGTGAAAATTTACATCATTACACACCGCTATTAGCAACAAAACGAGACGAGGAACTTGTTACCTCTGGCAGCGATCGCAATTATCGGCCTCGCGCAAACTGACGTAATTTTTATCTTGCATACGCTTAAGCCGCGCGCAAGCCGGTGTCCAATTTACCACTCGGCAAACATCCCCGTGCGAGATTCACGCTGGCCACGCTGTAGAGAAATGAAGTGAGTATTCGACACCGAAATTACGTTCCAAACGTTAAAAATTAAAAAGAAAGCAATCGCGAAGCTAAGAGATAGACGCGTAACGATGTAAAAGGTGACGATGAAACATCGAACGATTGGATTCTCGCCTGATGTTTGCACGCGCGCGAAAAACCAATGGAGCGACCGCAAAATCAAAATAGCTCGCGAAATAAAGAAATGAACAAACAGACGCCGACGTGTGTTCCTCCCCCTTTTTTTTATCGACACATCGATCGCACCCCCGCAAATCCCACGTACGAATCAACAATATGCCGAGATATCGCGCGAGCGCGCTCGATGAAATTCTGAAAATATCATTTCGGTATCTAAACATCGCAACTATTTATTTTACAGAGAGAACGCTCTATTTATTTTACAAAACAAATTTAAGTGTTAACCCAGCTTTTTTCCCTCCGACCGTCTCCCGAATTCGTTAGTAATCAAAACTATATAAATATGCGTAATTAAGATCGAGCGATCACTGGCGCTAAAAATCGAAATTAATTAATCATTTAAACGGATTAAAATTTGAAGTAAACGAGAGAAAAGTGACGTTAAATAAAGTCAGTTAATAGCGACTGATTGTGAGTAGCATAGATTAAATTATTAATAATCTCTCTTCAAAATTAATCTTGTATTTCTGAAGATTATAAAAATATTAGCACGAAATGTTTAAAAAAACCGACGATCCTTAATTACGGGTAACATACGTGATGAAATATTTTCGTCGGGTCTTGAAACATTTCAGGAATTATATTATGGTGCTGGCTCTCTCGATGTGGTACTTTACGAAGTCAACACATGTAACAGGAGTGAGAAATATTACACACGGTGTATCGAGGCATATACGATCTATCGGATTTCCCGAGGGTAGCAATACAGGGGTACGGTGTGGATCAATCATTCATTTTTCATCTACTAATGCGTCTCGGACTGCGCGAGCCACAGCCTGTTAACTCAATATTAATCACTCGCATTTCAAGCGCCACTGGTGAAGTGTGATCTGTCGGGCAAAATCGAGGAAACTGAAAATAAACGTTTCATTTGACATAAAAACGGTATTTCTTACTCAGGAATATTGAAAGAGACGTATTTTCATCTATTATGAAAAAACATCATACAAGAAATAATGTTATTTGTAGTTTGCTTTTAGCCACGTCTGTAGAATTTGCAGATGCCTTTCGCTTTTAGATTAATATATCGAATGTCTCGAAAAACTCCAAGCTCGTAGGAGACTATTAATTAATCATCTTCTAATTTCTTTATGAGAACTGAAATTAAAGACTGAAATTATCTGATTTGCAGATATTCTTCGCCTTGGGAATTCCCGTAGATATCCCAGACAAATCTATAGCGGTGTCGTTTTACTTCGAGGCAAATTATGGATTACCGTACGAATGGAATTCGAGTTACTATCACGAGGGAAGTTATTACGCAAAACGAAGTCTCAGCCGTCAATTAGTATACAAGATGCTCACAAGCAAAATTGACAGGTAACAGAGCTACATAAATCAATCTCATAATCCTGTACAATTTTGCCTTTAACGCTCTAAAATATAATTTTGCAAAGAAGATTTCGGAAAATAATGCAATTTCATACGTATCTTGTAACAGCCTGGGCTATCCTGGACTGGACTGTTTGCTGAGAATAATCTGCGAAGCTGAAAAATATTCCTTAAACGAAAACGGCGTGCTTGGTGACATTCTCCAAATTATATTCACGTCGGTATAAAATAGAAAAATATATTTGGAACTATATCAAAATAAAAATTTAAAAAGTTAACAATTGCTGCATATAATAATAATGGCAATAAAGAGAGGGATACTGGAAATTTAAAAAAAATTAGATTTAAATCAACTTACTTAGACGACGGACTTTTATTTTTGATCAATCATCCAGCACACATTTGTGCTATCACATGATGTATCAAACAAGTAATTGTTAAAGAATTGTAATATTTGTGCGCATTCTTCGTTGCAGACCCTCTATGTCGATGAGCGAAGATCTTCCGGATGAGATAATCGAAGCCGAACGCGAGCAACATTGTGATCAGCGTTACAAACAATGTCCTGTAAATCTTTTAGATCTAGCAAGCCATTATGTCAATGCTAATTGAATAATTCTGCTTAATTACACTGGTATCGAGAATATTTGAAAAGTTCGTTAAGCCAGTTTTGTCGAAAGATCGTACGAAATCTTCATTATAAACTTTATCAGATGTATGGATGATATCTGTGTATGAGATCTCTGTTGTATTAAATGTTATATTAAATCAACAGAAACACATGGCGGGTTTTGATAACATGATGTAATGAATTAATAAAAGAAATTGTGTAAATCTGTAACATAACTTGGAACAGAATTAATAGCAAAAAAATCACAGAAATCTGAAATTGGGAATGTTTCAAATCGCTTTCTTCGCAACTACTTCGCTTTGTATTTGAACTTCCTTAATCTGGTTCATTATATAAATATATATTTACATGTCTTAAAGCTCTTTTTTATTTCAACCCTAGACATCTTTTGTGACCTCAAACTTATTAAAAAAAAAGATATTTATCAATATTGTAACATAAATATTATAATAATTGATGGGAGTTTTAAATCTTTACACGTTTCATCAATAAGCTGAACATAAAATCAATATAAAACGAAAAATAACAATAAAAATCAACAACAATTAGAAATCTCAATGAAATTTGATTGTACTTTCTAAATATAAATCTAATAAAGAAGAAAAAGAGAAAGATATGATATAAAAATAAGAAATTTTGAAACGTAAAAAGTTTATTAAATTTATTTTTCAATGACTAAAGTTTTTCAAATTTTTTATCGTCAAAAACATGGGCTATTTTATATATATTGTATACCTATATATAAATATATATATATATATATATATATCATTCAAAATCTTATCTTTCTCTATAATTAACAAATTTGTAATTGTAATTATAACAGAAAACATACAATAACTATTATGTCTTGCAAAAACTCGCGAATGTAATCAAATTGTGCATGAAAAATAAAGATGCAATTTCAATGTAAATAATCAATGCAAACGATTTTTATTATCATCGGTGCAATTCGAACAAGCATCCGAAAACTTCTATCATTTGTATTCTTCAAGCATCCAACTTTTATATTTTATTCAAGGATGATTTACACACAGGCCACTGTAACATTAGAAATTTTCTAATCTCTATTAAAGCTTTTCTACTAGGAATACTCCTACATCGATAAAAAGTAATACAAGATAAAGACAATTATTATGACAAAATGAAATGTAGTATTAACAAAAAAAATCATGGATAACACTTAAAAAAAATATCTACGAGATTTTAAAACAATGTGAGAAGTACTTATTATATCTACTATTGGCAAATAAAAATATTAAATAAACAAGTAATGAGCTTTCCTTAAGATTATTAATTCTAATGCTTGCAGTCTTTTCTCCGTCCAGCTATGCTGTGATCATTTGCGACAAATTTAAACCGTTGTTTTTTGAAGCTTGTACCTTAAGTCTTTTCTTCACAGTAGAATTTTATTATTGTAATTACGATTCACTGGTTTCTCAGTCCCATGTGTCGTGTAGCAGAATATTATTCGCACGACTCCGAACACACGATTACACGTGTATTTCGGCAAAACTCCGAGAAATCCCCTGGTTTTACCTTACTCCTTCAGTTTGTTAACCGCAGGCACGGTGATCGCTCCTTTCACGGCGGCGCGCTGGGATTGCAGATAATGAAGCGCATTTTCGTAGACCACAAACGTGACAACTGTCGCCGGGGTCACTCTGGTGAGGTTTACGCTTAAACCCTTGTAAAAGCCACGCCAACCCTCATACCTGCAACGAACCACCAGCAATACGCCTTTGTTTTACTTTGCTTCAACAACAGACTAAATACGCGAATTGTTCCGAAAGCGATTATTAAATTTGACCCGCGTACGATTCTTGACGCTACGTCGAATTTACTGTAAAAATTCGACGAAGAAACTGACAATGCTCTCTTTCATCGCTTTTACACAAGTTCGATCAGTATAGAAGTGATATCTGTTTCTCTATCAGCCACTTCACTGATTTGAAGCAAATAAACGATTAAACGCGTACAAATTCGAAGCAACAAAATCTCTTGGTTCTTACTTCGCTCTTGAATTGCAATTCAAGTATAATTAATTCAAGCACAAATGTATCTGATACTAGTAATTCATGTATCATTGTGTAATATGTTCAAAAATCGTACTGCTGGTGGCTTAATAAACTACTAAACTAACCGAACCAAATCGTATCCGATAACCATTCCATCACAATACCTTTCTACATGCTGTTTGTTTTAAACAGAATAAACACGACGATAAGAGTTTTAATGCAAAATATATCTAAGAAAAATATTTAAACTAAATCATAAATTATTAAATAACGATGATGTCTTCCTGCCCTCTGCGCTGTCAAAGATATTATTGGTAGATGTCAGTAAAAAGAAAAACAGAATGAAGATATCTGGGTAAAGTGTGAAAAACGTTGAATAATCTGAAATAATCAATAATTAATTTAATGAAACACAAACACTTTTCGATATGTGTGCGTGTGTTTATTAATATCGTCACAATGTTGCATTTAAGTATGCCCCTTCGCTTTCGTTCCCATGACTCTCTCTCACTTTTCTTTTTCTTCAAAGAAACGGATTCTAGCTAGATTGGCTAAAGAAATTGAATATAAATAAATTCGTCCTACTATTTACAGATTGCAGTGAGGAAACTTATTGCTATCGATCATATGTTCCGAGTGCCAGACTCTACGATCCTTGCAACAACAAAAAAAAATTGATCTATTACGGACTCTATATACTCCACTTAAAATGAGGTAAAATAAAGGCTACAGAGAAATAGAGTCGCTTCGTAAAACAGAAAGAAAGGGGGAAGAGAAGTTAGAATGCGGCAATCTTTTACATTTTGTTAAAACTTAAAAAGAGAAAAAAATCTAAATTAAGCGTCGTCTAGTCCGCACTGAAACTCATCGAGCGAAGACGCTGAAATCATCGATTCATACACATGTGGCTCATACACATTATGCGTCGAAAATTGTTCAAACGTTACACAGACAATAGGTATATTGTGTGTATGTTCGTGTTACGTAGTTACGTAAATATTTGGTTGTTAATTTAACTATCCAATGTTACACCGTCCGCCGACGTGAACCGAATGTATTTCTCTTCTTGCGGCTCTTGCACACGCACACACACACACACACATTTGAACAGAGCACATTATCTTATACTAGACAGTATAAGAAATTACCCTCCTCGCTTCCTCTTGCATCAACCGTGTGCGCGACCACAAGCACATCTATCTAGGTTCGTTCAACTAAATCCAGTTTAGTTGACATTCAGATATCTATTTACCAAACTCGGCAGAAGAAAAGACGATCATATTTATAACGTTCATCCGTTGTGGCGTATCTTATATAATGAGAAGATATTTCGTTTAAAATACACATTTTTTTCGTTTATAACAAAAGCTATCCTTACATACGTCGATCGACCCACAAATTCCGCCGTAAATCAAAACGTTATTCGTGTCGAGGAATAAAATATGTAACTTCGTCCATTTCGCAGTCTCTCTCTGTGTACTTGAATAAGAAAGGTTGAATAAATAAAAACACATACATTCTACGTACAATACGTGCCACTAACTATTGCCATTTCAAGATCTGTTCCACCGTTTGCAATCACATCGCATCGCAACTCGCGCAAAACGTTAAAACGGCAATAGCAATTATTTAAGCTACTCTCGCATGGTCGAGCGATCCCTTTCATCACCGCGATGATTCTACTAACTTAATATAACGTAATATAAATTAATGGAAATACAAATGATAGAAAATATCGTGCACTCATTTCACGAATGCCAGAAAGAACGAACTATCTACGTCAACTACAACAGAATAGAATAAAAATTGCTACTAACAATTATTTCGGCTATCCTCCGAGTCCTCTGAGAAAATAAAATATATTTCAGATAAAAGTGGTTTTATAAAGAAAGGCTTTCTCTCAAAAAAAAAAAAAAAAATAATAATAATAATTCTTGCACTGTAACCTATTTGAATGATACGTAACGCATGATATATTCATCTATTCAAAGAAAAAAAAATTGAGTACTATGGCCTCACATCGTTGAAAGATCATACACGCACTCTGCGTACCATAAAGTGAGTACCTTGCATCCGTAAGTTTTGGTAAATCGGGGGATATTACGCGCTAATATGAGTAAGATTTAAAAAAAATTGCCTAAAGTTTTTTCTTACTTTTGCAATAATAAGATATCAACGTAAATTAACTACCGTTAGTAAAATGCTCGTAAATAAGAATAATCAGACATATGTTTGGTGTAACATGTAAAAGGTATGGTGATAAGCCCTTATAGAAACCCCTAATGCCTTCTGACCTCCATGTGCATTGGACGCAATGCCAGGTGCCCCGATAATCGTGATGATGATCCTGAAGCCGCGCCCTCACCACCTGATAAGGATACGTCGACGCTGCAGCGATCAGCTTGGAAAAAGCCGCGAAAACGATGTATTCAGTAGTACTCTGTATAAAGAATTATATAAATATATAATAGAAATATTTCTCATATTTTTATGGTCATTAAATATTATTATAAGCATCTAGTTAAGAATTAAAATATTCGTTATGTATTTTTCATTATTTATGTTTTTTTATGCAAAAAGTGTAGACAACAAAAGAAAATAACGTCGCAAATAAAGAAGTACACGCAGTTAGATTCATCTTACAAGAAAAGGGATCCAAGTGTCCCCCTCTGATTTTAATGAGCTATTAATGTTATTTTCTAAACAAAACCAAGAATTAAGCTACCGCATATTCGTGCCCGTTCGCACTTTTAAGGGGTGAAACATTCCTTTAAAAAAAATTGGTTTTTTTTACTTTAGAGCAAATATTGTTGAAACTACGAGAGATAGAAAAAATATTTCTAATAAAAGTTGAATGGCTTTAAAAGTACTTTATAATTTAAAAAATAATTCCGTTCTAAGTTTTAGTTTTAAAAACATAATAATTCCAATTATAAAAAATAATTTTTTAAAATTATAATTACAAAGTATTCTTAAAGCCATTCAATTTTTATTAGAAATATTTTTTCTATCTCTTGTAGTTTCGACAATATTCGCTCTAAAATAAAAAAAATCAATTTTTTCAAAGGAATGTTTCACCCCTTAAAAGTGCGAACAAAAATCGGAGGGGAACACTTGGATTCCTTTTATTTTATAGATATCTGCTTTCTCAACCGGAACAATCTCAATAAAAATATAATCAATTTACCAATTTCGTATCGATGGGTACATTCAGGTAATTGTAGTATTTATTCTTCATCTCTTCGTACGCCATGAACTGTATCGCACCGTGTGAAACACCAAATAATCCAGGAACTAAACCCTGCAAGGATACAGAATATTTTCTTTAGTCACGTAAGCCGCGAGTAAATAACTCTCGTTTCGTCTCGAATACAGTTATAATTCGAAAAATTTTCGCAAGAAAAAAAATTCGCTTACCTTATATAAGCCTCTAATACCCTCCGTCTTGTAAATCTTCTTTAAAGCATCAATCATGCCGCGATACTTCTTGGACTCCGCCATATTCACATCGTCAGCGTATTGTAAGCACAGCCGCGTCTTTACCACCCAGATCGGGTTAGTCATGAGCAATGTAAGCACTCCGGCATCAGCTGCAGCGAACATATGCATCGACGGTCCGAGCGGTTTCTTCGAATTGCCACCTTGGATCGAAGTCTTTATCGTGTTGTAGCTGTAAATTAATTCGCAGATATTCACAAAAAGGGCATAAACAACACTAATCGACGATCTCGAATTGAGATCTTCATTCAATTGCAGACTGATTTTTTCATTCATGCGTTAACCCAATTAATTGATTACTTGGATTCAGGGGTAAATCTGAAGCGCTCCAGCTGAATCGGCGATCACTACTTACAAGAAGAAGTAGAAACCCCACGAACTGCCCGATCCCAGAACGTTCGGTGTTACACCCCTGTAGAGCCCACGCAAACCTTCGGTTTTAACGATCTGAGCGATGGCATTTCTGAGACCGTTGTACCGCGGTGCCGCCTTCGTGTGACCATCGTTCACTGCAACCAGAAGTTAGAAAAAAATAAAGTAAATGGGATGTATTTTACATTCTGATAAAAATACCTCGCGATATTATCGTCGAGATACTTTAATGTCTTATTGAAGCAAACGCCTGTGCTGTAATTGTTTACGGTGTTTTCCCCGTATCCATTGTTTGCCCCTGCTGTCATCGCCGATAATGCATCGTCTCGTGATAGAGCAACTCCGTAATTTTTATGCTCCAATATGTTTACATTAATACTCGATTAACATGTGTATACACGTATAAATTTTGCTTTATCGCCGTAAAACGTTGCAACGTTAGTATCTGGTTGCGAAATGACAGCGTTATCGTGTTGCGATACGTCTCACTTGCCGAGAAATTTCTTTCTCAATGTATCCATATCAAAGACACTCGTAGCGACAAAATGGATACTTAAAATTTATGGATTTTATATTTTGAATAATAAAAAAATTAATTAGAAAGTGCTGATATAAAATTTATAATAATCCAGCGAAATACATAATTTAGGATGTAAAATAGAAAGTAAAGACGAGTAAATATATTGCTCCCTTCAAAGATCAAAAGACAAATGAGATTAGATATAAAATAATTTGATAATCGAATCATTACATATTTATGCCGAGAATCTTATGCAAAGCCAATGGAAATGAATGGAGAAACAAATTAATATCGTTTAAAAATAACAAATTGTAAGGCAGATCAGAGAGAAGAGCGAGAAAAGAAAAACGATCGTCATCTGCCTGCCACGCAGTTTTACTTTCTCTTTCGTAAATGATTGTGATTTTAGCTACAAAAGACCGTCCCCATTGCGATTGTTTACTTCTGACTGACGAAATCCACCTATAAAATTTCCTCCGCAAATTCCTGCATTAATTTACAATCAATTGTTCCTAAATAAAAAGTTAGCGATTGCCGTGAAGTTTTATTCTCATCCATAATTTGTCAATTTTCAACTTCGTTAAATTTTTTAATAATTATAATCAGCTTTAAATGGAATTTGTGCGACTAGTTAATGCAATTAGAGCAAAAAAATAATAATAGTCTGTTATCCAAGTATGCAAAAAACGTTTCGCTTTTACATTTGTAGGTAGGTATGTATTCTACTTTGAAATATAAATATAAAAAGAAAGCCTTGATTCAAACAATTATCTTACGATAATTCTACAAAAAATTAGGAACATTACATCATATTATTTATTTTATTTTGCATTCCTTTATTTCACATTATTCAGCTACTTAGCATTTAGAGTATTTAGACTCTCATTTTCCTGGTTATCTCAAATTATAAACAGGATATGCTTGTAATGCATACTTGCACAGAGATATGGTATCAGCCATAATCTGATTATAGGCAGATACAATTCGATGATTTTATAAAATTTTGAATCTTCCATCTGCAAGCTGTAGAATTTCGATGGATTATCTTATTACAGCCTAAATTCATAAATTAACATTTACATACATGTTGAAACTTGTGTACTTTTACATTCGCAAAAGGAGTTGATCTGCATATTTTATTTCGCAATCGTATGCTTATGAATATTCGTAAGCACGAAATTTTGTAGAGACTTTCGCGCGACGATTCGACCGACTGCGAAACGATTCAATAACGAACGTCACGTGCCACTGACGCAACTTGCGGGATTCTCGTGGCTTGGTGCTTGGTGGACGGCCAATGAATATTCCGTTTAAAATACGACACACATACGCATGCACGTACACATCTGCGTGCGCGAGAGTGCGTGTGTGTGTGTGTGGAGTTCCCGTTTCCCGCAATAAATCCTATTCGTTTCTACTTAGGAAAGTATTAACGCTCGACGCGCGTCACTTTTCTGCCTTCGTCCGATTGTGACGGATTCATTGAAAAGAATTATTCAAATATGAGGAAACTTTTCTGCTTAGTTTCCACCGCTTAGTTCCGTCAAGGTAATCGACATAAATATCGGTAAGATCTTTCGACGGCTTTAAAGCAGGTAGAAGAATACCTGGAGAATTCATTTATTCATTTATTCGATATCGACTTGTCTACACTGCTTACGTCAATTACACCTTTTCGGACAAGCAAGATGCATAAACAGCTAATTGTACTTGCATCGAGCACTCCGCAAAAACACCGCGGTTATTCAAAACAGTAATTCATTTGGTTTGACGCACGCTGACCGCACAGATAAAAAGAATGACTGTAACAACACTACTATGGAAATTTTTTGTGATGTAAAAAAAATTTTTTTTTTAATCTCCATTACAAGAAACAGCTATTTCAGGTGCATTTTAATGTTTTTCTCTCGCTTTCGCAAACTCGAGCACGATGACGCTTACTTGTGAGCTAACAACAGCCAATAAAGAATCATAATACAGATAAGATGTTACATGTTGGATAAACTCCAAGGTTTAGTTCCTCAAAGCATATGGAGTCACAAATACTTCGTAATAACTATCAAATTCTGCTTACAAGAGAGGTACGCTGTAAAAATGATGATTACGCAATATAACTACACTTATTTATGAGAAGTAGAAGATCGATCGTGACGTAAGATTATTGATACTAACGCAACGTGAAAATAATAGACGATAAAATCGTATCTTTCATGTGATATCAGTAAATAGTCAATATTTATGACTATCTTTAGAAATTGTGTCATTAATAAATAATTATAAATTTAATTGTTATAAAAAGAATAATAATCAGAATAAATTGAATTAAACTAAACCACAATTATTTATTATGGTGCAGCACGATAAAATTTCGTCAATATTAACGTAATATTAATATTTATCTCAATAATGTTATAACATAATTAATATGTATTAATGATTTTATTGTAAAAATATTTGCTTAAATGTATATATTTTCAATAAAATAACTTTTAAGGTGATTCTGCACTTTTATAACACGATATCAATAATATCTCATATTGCCATATGTTTAATATATCTTTTTTAAGATAACGATATGACAAGAAATACAATAAAATAACGTTCGTTACGTTGATAAACGAGCACGTGATGATTGTGCAATCACCATGCATCTCCGATCATCATCACGTGTGATTAGAGTGAAATATATTATATTCTACGAGGCTAAAGTGATATACATAGTATGACCGTATTATAACTGGACTTCTTTATCGAGAGCACGTGAGGAACGCAGACGAACTTGGATAAAGACAAATAGCTTGACATTTTTGAGAAACGACGTTACAATCTTTGGGAATTTTCTTTAAAAATTGAAACGTAATTCTATGCGGTAAAAATGGATATCTGTTAAAAAAAAAAAAGAACTACTCGTACTTTCACTTGAGAAGTAAATACAATTTCACTTTCTTTAGGGAAACCTTAGGGAATCCACTTCGACGAGCAGAAATCTTCCAAATTGCTTCGTTTCTCTCACGTTTTTATTTTGTATGAATTCCATCTTCGATTCTAAATCTATAATTCGGTTAATAATTTTAAGCCCATTTTGCATTTTCTATATACTCGCATCAGATTAAAGTCGCATATAAAATTCTATTTACAATTTTATTATATCATGTATACCTTGATATGTGTATTTTAATATATTGTTCATTTGCTACAACAATGACTTGACTAAAAAATTGTAATTTTTGAGTCGACTGTACAGAAAAGTGAATTCTATGATGAGAATTAAATAAAGAACTAAATAAAGAGCTAATACTTTCATTTCTTTACAATCAATTGTTTACAATCAAATTATAATACCAAAATCGTATTTAAAAATTATATTACAAAATTTTAATGATTCAAACTGGAAAATTTTATTTTTGAGTTATGTCGTGGTTGTAGCAAATGAGCGATATATTTTATACGTGTATATCTTCAATTTTCAAAATTTTTCATATTACATATAAAATTATAAACAGAATTCTATTTTAAAATTTAATATAGATTATAGATTGAAATAGAATTGATTGAGTTAACATATTCTGTAATGTAAGAAAAACATTTTAGAATAAACAGAATCGGGATACGCATGTATGTATATGGTTTCTTATATATTTTATATATAAGATCACACTCTCTAAAAGGAGTGGAACTCGAGGAGTGAAAAACAAGCCAAAACGAGTAAAGTTAGTGCATAAAGCCATGATACATAAAAAAACGTAAAACAGTAAGACGTAAACAGTCAGCCAATCACAGTAAAAAACATAAGGCAATAATTTTACGTTCTCTGTTTAATTGGCTAATTCACTTACTGTTTACGTCTTACTGCTTTACGTTTTTCTATTTCTATGTGCCATGGGCTTGAGATATAAGTATAACGAAAAGTGACTCGCTACTCTAAGTAAGAATTAAACTGCGCTCTATAAGTTGGAGTGAAATCACACCCTATTTGAGAGTGAAAGGGCACTCTTTTCGAGTGCGGTAGATCAGTGTCCGCAGCATGGAGGTTTATTTCTTACCTCCATGATCCGTAGAAGTGAATTATCACTCTACACTTTTAAATGGAAAATTCGACTCTGTCAAAGTGAAAACCATCGATTTTTAGTGACACATAGCCGCTTTAAAAATTTAAGCGAAAAATTCACGTTTATAAGTTCCCGCGTTCATTCAAATCAGAGCAAAAATCTCTTTTGAAGTGACTATCGTAATCATTTGAATATATTAGTGACAAAATCATTCTATTAGAACATTTAGAGAGAGAGAGAGAGAGAGAAAGAGAGAGAGAGAGAGAGGAAATATGTGTATATTAATACGTACAAAATTATAAATAGAATTCTATCTTAAATTCTGACACGAATTATATATCATCTAAAACGGGCCGGTACACAAGTAAATTTCCTCTAGACTACTTTAACATGAACTTGGAGAGTAAAAATCCCATAACCTGAATAAACAAGTTAGCATATAGAATGATGTAAAAATTAATACAATCTCGTTGCCTCTTCTGACGAAACTCATCCGGAAATCCAACATCTGTTACAAGAGTTCGAAGCTCTCGATAAGGCAAGCTCGGGCCTTTGTTTATTCATATCGATCGAGTTTCCTTGTATATCGCATATATGAGTCGTTATCAGTCGTCTGCTTTCACGAGAGCGATAAGGCATGTTGCCTTCATTAAGATAGTCATCTTTAAACAAAAACGTGTTTTATCATCCGAACATTTGTCAAAAAATACTCGACTTTCGCTATGAATCAACTTTAAACTCGGCCGTAATTTTGGCCAATGTTTTGCTCGCTGACGTAAATAGTGCAATATTTTCGTTCTATCATATTTGTTTTGTACCATAATTCGCGATTTACGCGAACAGAGCTTATAAATAGCTGCCCTGTGCGCTCCTTTGTTTCGTTTCCGCAGCGAAATCTTTATCTAAAACAGCTGTGCTCAATATACATATATGTATATAAACACAAATGTTATTACGTTAATAAAATTTTGACCAGATATATAGTATGGAAAAAATGTCAATTAATTTATCGTAACGCCCGATAAATATATAAACATAATTGCAAGCAAATTAAAATAATAGTAAATGTAATTTATAGTAATTACAAATTTTGACAATGTTCGAAAATGTTTTCCTATATAATTATTTGGTTCCAAGAATATTCTAATGTATAAAAAAACAGTGCTATCAGTATTTAAATACTGAAGTACCTGGAATATTATCTGCGCAACCCGATATTCAAGGGTATCCGATTTAATTAGAGATAGCCAGGAAACCTGAGCGTCAAGAGATACCAAGGTTGGACGCGGAAAATTATGTGAAATAAAATAATGTAATCCCCATAATGTTATCCATTGTTTCGCGAAGAATCGTCGTGTGGTGCATGTGTTTTGCAGTTTCGCCGTGCCGGTACGCGCGCGAACAAAAATAATCCGACGCTTCGAGTCTTTGTTGAGTCTTTGTTGATTAGCTAACAGAACATTAACCTGCCACGCATTATTTTCGAAGTAGCAAATTTCTAGACAAATATGTTCCCTATCTAATCTAAATCTTGCCGTTTAATTATCAACGACGTGCACGAGCTGGCGCAACACCGGTAATAACTCGCAACGAGCGCGTGCCTCAGTAAATCCCGTGATCCCGTATCACTATTGTGTCGGACTGCGCAAAATAACATTGCCATATATGCCTCGGCAAAATAACATTCATCATCGGTAGAATGTTGTCCATAATATTGACTTCCGAGAGTAATAAACAGCGACGACGATAATAAATTATGGTTGAATCAACAGAAGTAAAAAAAACTACTAGTGATACAAGTATCTTTCATATTCGAAAACATGGAAAAATACATCGATCGCGATACATTTAGATATTCTTTACGTACATCACATCTCTTGAAACGTAGAAAAAATATTGGGAGTGTCTTGTTTCTAGCGATCTCGCGTATCAGTTGAACATCAAATCCCAGGAACGGAGACTTCTTTATGGAGCTTTCCACACCAAGAACGTTTCCCGTACGTGTGGAATTCCATACCCAGAATTCGGGACGTTTAAAAAAACATATTTTTTAATTTTTGACAAATTAAAAAAAAATTCGAGTGATTTAACAAACAACAGTATTTGATTAGCATGCCCACGTGGCATGCTATATGTATGTAAAAAATATATTTCGCACATACAATAAAAGAGATAAAATATTTGTGTGTATTGAAACCATCCACTTCCCCCGTCCGCTTAGATGAGGTACATCACAATCACAAAAGTCAAAAGTCTCCGTCCCTGTCGAATACCGAGAAACGACTAGCGTTTGCGATTGGGAATTTTCCACCGAATTTTAAGTAGTCACGCTACGAGTTGCGGGCGTGGTTACAGTGGGAATTACGGTTAGGATTATCGTTGATCGTTGGAAACCAACCAATCAGAGCGAAGTCGGTTAGATTACAAGTTGAAAAATAAACTCATGTCAGGTCTAAATTATAACGTGTAACCTAGTCGGCGAACTGCTTCGCTCTGATTGGTTGATTTCCAACATTCAACCGTAATTCCTAACTACAACTGCCGAGCCCGCAGTGTGATTACGGCTTTAACTTTTTGTTTGCACGTAACAAAAGATGAAACTTTTTTTCCCCGAGGTACACAGTAGGTAACATGCATTGTCGACATGTTGCATCTCTAGAAAGGAATTTACCATAAAAATTTATTGGAAAAGAGAGGAAAAATGCATTTACCTGAATCGAGGGGAGATATTGTGGCATAAAATCGTGGCATCCGTACAATCTCGAGCTCTCTGAGCGCTAGTTCTTTTATCGACACGATAAATTCTACGGCCGTTTAGATTCTACAATCGTGCCACCCTCGGCAAAAGTCCGCGCTGTCTGTCGCAACACTTCATGAACGTTTAATAATGTTTTGATTTGTCTAACGAAGAAACTTGTGGACTTTACTCGCTTGGAATAAAGTCCGGTCGTGAGTTGATAGATAATAATATAGAGTGTCGCTTTAGGGTATAATTCCTTTTGACTTCTTTAGAGTATTAAAGTAGATGAAATAAAAAACAATTGGCCTATCTGTCTGAACAGCCCCAAATATGATTTAATTTCTTCCTTTCGTTCCAATCTTCCTATCTTTATATTTAATCTTCTCTCACCAAGACAGAATATCTTAATTTAATTTATCGGAACATCTATATATTAGTTATATAATTTAAGAAAATTTCATAACGTGTAATTAATTTATTCAGAGGGATTTATAAAAGGATTTAAGACTAAAAGGCTTGATGAAAGAGCTAAGCGTGCCCCGCGTCACTGTTTCACTTTCGTATTATCGATCTTTCGGCGTTGCACAGCCGTACGTGGAATTTATACGGTGCAGTGTAGCTTATACGGTGAGCAAGCAGTGATATGTAAAGCACTTCTATTTTCAGTACACTCGCTACACAAGTATTCCTTTGCGCGAAGGTACGGATCTTTCACTTTCCAACATATCTAAATATAAGTATTTAGCGACTTTTGTGCATAATTTTATTTAGCGACACGAAGACAAAATACTAAAAAAGATATAAAAAATGACAATAAATGTCCGAGTTTAGTTAAAACTGAAATATTCGAAAGTATTTTAATACATGATAAGACTCAGACATTCAAGCAAAATGCAACATTAATTAATTACATGATTCTGTTCGGCAACGCCGAACAGAAATATTTATAGACATTAAATTCTCGGTGTATCGAGTTTGCAAAGCATACTGTTGCAAAGCATTAGTAATAGAGCATTCCGAGTAACGCTATTTTAAATACAATGTAAGTGCAATAATTTGGAAGCGTGTCAATTTTTGTACGTAAGTATATACAACGGGAGACGAAATGGCTTATACGCGGCAATCATATGTTCCGAAAAAGCTAGCCAAAAATTAAATCATCTTTTCTTTGAGACGCTCAAACTAAATAAAATCTGCCGTTACATCTATTGGATATTTGAAAAATACATATATATATTCTCGAATACTCTTCCGTGTTTCAAATCGCATGTCTTATATTGTTGTTTCATATCTTATCAGTACTTTATATACATATGTACATGAGAAAACTTTTTAATTGAAATCAGTTAACAATTAATTCATTTTTTATTATTTATTTCAGTAATAATTTAAAAACATTTTTTAAAGTCAAACAATTTTTTGCACTCGTTTTATAGCAATTATTCATGATATACCTTTATATACTGTACGATTATTGTAAATCTCTTTTTTTATAATAGAAAATTTACCATTTGTACGCAAATTTTGTCTATATAATAAATAATAATTTAAATATCAAATATTAAATACAGAGTAAAATAAAGTTGAATCATTTTGAAAAATTAAAATAAAAAAAAATTATATTAAAATATATAAAAAAAACGATTATCCATGATATCACGTTTATATATTGCATCATCATTATAAAGTAAAATAAAAAGTAAAATAAAGCTGAGGCACTTTAAATAAAAAAATTATTTTAAAATCTGCAAAAATGCATTTATTCATAATATCACGTTACTGTATGATTATTGTAAATCTCTTTTTATAATAGAAAATTTATCACTTTACGCAAAATTTGTCTGCGTAATAAATAATAATTCAAAATATCAAAAATTAAATACAGAGTAAAATAAAGTTGAATCATTTTGAAAAATTAAAATTAAAAAAAATTATAATATATTAAATATATAAAAAAACGATTAGCCATGATATCACGTTTATATATTGCATCATCATTATAAATCTCTTTTTATAATAGAAAATGTATTATTTGTACGCAATATTTGTCCACATAATAAATAATAATTTAAACTACCAAGAATTAAATACAGAGTAAAATAAAACTGAGTCGCTTCGAACAAAATTTTAAAATTTTATCTTAAAATCTGCAAAAATGTTTCCCAACAATTTGCCCAGCGCTTAATAATCTAAACAATTTAATAACGAAAAATTTAAACTCAAAGGAAAATATGTAAATGCGTCTGGTACATTCTTTCATATCTTCCGAGATAAGTAAAAACCTAGATGACTACCTTTCACTTAAATTACCTAAAAGAACTGAAAAAACTGAATGACTTTCAACGGAATAATCTGGAATAAACTGATTTAGAACAAGAGAGATCTTACGACTTTTCTCTTATAATCTTTCTTGCAAATATACTCGAACGAGGAGGGGGGAGGGGGGGGGGGCGATAATTCATAAATCATAAATTACACAGGTCGAATATTTCGCCAGCAATTTGTCCACAATGTGACAATAACAATTGTTCCACGCTTTCCTCTCCCTGACCTGCTTCAAGAGACTCGAGTAAGAAAAAAAAAAAAAGAGAAGAAAGAAAGAACTTGACCGAGGAGGAACGCGCCCGCTCGATAACGCTCGTCGGCGCGGAAGGCGACCGTGTCCACGTGCTGCAGCCGCAATGTGATAGCCGCCATTTTCTCGAGCGCCCTCGCACGCCGCCGCGCGTGCAGGAGGAGCGGGCGCGTGACTCACGCACACAAGTCTCGTCTCTCTCTCTCGTCACGGCGCTCACCTGCGAATCGGATCTTGATTAGGTCCAGCGGGTGCAGCATCAGGGTCGAGACGACGCCGCCGGAGATGCCCGCGACGAAGTACTCGTACTTGAAGTTGCTCAGGACGTTGAGCTGGCGCGGGGCGCCCGGCGTGCCGCTGCCCTTGATCGCCGTCATGCTGAGCGGTACGCTGTCGCCGACTACGTGCCGCCGCTCCTCGCCGTTCGTTACCGATCCGTGATTGGCGATGACCGATCCCGCATCCTTGCCAGCGCTAACAATGCGCGCCTCCACTCTGCGGCATATCTCTTGGTCCGCGGGAGGCACTGTCGTCGAGCTGTCGTAGCGTCAATCGTTGTCGAAACTCACCGCGCCGCCTGCTTGTTCGCGCTCGCTCGCCCCCGCGATCACAGCTGGTTACCGCCGATTATGCAACGCACCGACGACCAAACCACAACTCCACCGCGCACGCCGAACACCGCCATACTGGCTCGGCGGAGTACTCTCGGGGACCAGGCGGATTAGATTAGCGCTAGCAGCGCTAGCGAAAACGACGCGTGGTGGGGAGGTCAGGTCCGTCGCGCCAGCGCGGTGACGCGGCATTAGCAGACAATACTCTCAGCTGACAATGAGTGCGCGTACGCGGGATTTTCAATGTCTGACATTTCATTTGTCGTAAAAATTAAATAATATTCTAATCCTTCGTGTCCTACTGAAGCCCTAACGCCTAACTGAAGCTTGCACGCGTATTTTCTCGGAGGAACATTCGGGTCGCGCGTTTCGTACCTATATATACATATACAGTGTATCTAAATCTTCGCGCCTCATGACCGCGTCTCGCAGCAATATAATCTCATCCAATTTCCTATATTCATGCATCTGCGATATTTGTAAACCCGAGATGAAAAAACAACGGCTCACCAGACCGACGCGCAGCAGCGGAGTTGTGGCACGACGTTAATCTGCAACACAAAAATACATGAATTATAGCAGCGCTCCAAAGTGCTTGATAATTAAGAAAAAAAAAAAATTATCGCGCGCATTATTAAATTTTTGGCTTTTAATGTAAAATTTAGTAAAGTGATTACACGGTTGCCAAAGTATTTCATTGCTCCTTTCCTTTTTAAGTTTGAAAATCCTTGCCAAATTCTATACAAATAAAATCTTTTTCTTCGAATCTTCTTATATGCGAAAGAGAAATGAACAATATTAATCGCGCACAAGTAGAACGAATAATAATAATATGTGATAAAATCGCTCACCCAGGGTTGCTCCGCCGGCGCCGGAAGCCCCTCCCCGGGCCGCCCTCGCCTCCTCTCAGCTTCTTGCCTGGACTGCATATATTGAACACTAAACACTGAGCATACATAAGCACTGAAATATATACGTATCACGATACTCGCGCGATTTAAAATATACAACCGCTATCACTCGCGCCGTGAACGAAACGCCATATTAAACGCGACAGAGCGTGCAGGCGCTTCACGCAGCTACTCGCCCGAGGCTGCAGCCTGTGCATTCGCTCGCGGAAACGCGGTTTGACTCAATACTTACGATCGCGCGACACTTTTCACGGCACTCCCGACGCGATCCACCGCGACGGAAGGAAAACGCGTGGAAAAATCCACGGCGGCACCGAGATCGCGAGCCGTTCGCCGCGCGCGACGTCGCGTGATGGACGAATCTCGACCGGCGGATTTGAAGCGCGCGGCCAACTTCATACCGACGCCGCGATAAACGTACCCGCTGCACTCTCTCGTGCACCTCCCGCACCTCGCTCGCGCGAACGCAACGCTCGCGCCTATAGCCAACTTCGTACCGACGCCGCGATAAGGTGCACCGACCGCACCCTCGTGCACCTGTTGCACCTTTCGCTCGCGAATGCATTCTCGCGTCTTCAAGCCATTTTTATGCTGTCAATTGATTGTACATTTTTGATGTCCCATGTATTATTGGGAGAAGAAATACGAGTGGGTAGATGAACGAGTTGAGAGACCGCGGATATTCGCGGATAACCGCGGCGCCGTACGAGATTCGCGACGATCGTCGCTTTTTGGCCTGCACTGCTCGCGCGATGGATTTCAATCGATCGAATCTCATCGAACAATGGATTTCAACGAATACGGAATTGTTCCTATCTAATCAATAGCCCGCGCGGGTTTAATTATAAGGTATATATTCGCGAACTGTAACGCGGCGCGTCGCGACGCCGCTCGTCCCGCGGCCGACTCGCCTGCAGTCGCTTCGCTTGCGGCGTTCATTTACTGAAATCAGGCGCTACCAACTTTGACGACACTAATAATGCGATTGGCAAAATCATAATCGATCGTATCGATTGTCAGAACAAACAGAGATTCGAAACAGTAGATAGCATATCTACGAATAGAAAAATCAAAGGTTAGTTTCTTTTATTGATAAATCTCGAAATGATTTAATTTCGCACATCTGTGGACAGAAAAATGGAGATTACATTTTTTAACAATAATTCTGAAATAATTTTCGAGACGCGTCTGATATTCTATTAAAAAATTTGTTTTTTAGTTATCCCCAGAAAATAAATTCTCTCACATATCGCATATGTTTCAAAGAACTGTTGGAAAAAAAGTTTTTTATCAGTATTTGTCCACAAGTACACGTGCACTTAACGTTTATTCTATGCCACAGTTACACAGTAAAAAACTAACATTTTATTGTAGTTATGTTAAAAACAGTTCACTCATGCTATTTGTTAAGATTTTGTGTTAACATTTTTAACATATTTGCGAGTGTTAATTTAACGTGATTGTGTTATTTAAACATTTTTTATTAAATTATTCAATATTTCTTAGTGTCAAAATGAAATTTATGAGTAAGTGAACAAATAACATAAAAACAATGTGTTTTAAAACGTACATTTTAACAGAAATGAATAAAATATGTATTAATTTACTTGTAATTAAAATACGTGTTAATTTAACATATCATAAATGTTAATTTTATTGAAAAAATATGCTTACACAGTTGCTTACAAATTGTATTATATTGTTGTGTTAAATTTTTAATGTGTTAAATTTATAATATTTATTGTATTACTTTCTAACATATTTACTTTATGTTAAATTAACAAAAATTTAAGTGGACATGGTGCGAAATGTATTAAATATAACACAAATTTTCCAACAGTGTAGTTACAATTTACTAAATCTATCTAATAAAAATATATACTTATTATTTTTTATTTTATTCGGCTTTTTCTTTATTTTATTTTTTTAAACAATTTTTTTACAATTCGACATTTTAGCAGCTAAATTTTTCGATTCTAGAATACTATTATATGTAGATATATAAAATGATGTAATCAAATTTAGAATAAAAATATGTATTATTTTATTAAAATGTTTATTTAGGAAAAATTACAGTGTGTAGAGAAAGTGTACAGAAGAGTTACAGTTACAGTGTAAAGAAAGAAAACCCTTTTTAATTAAGATTAAACTGTTTGAAATAATTTGTACATAAGAAACAAATGAAGAAACATTATTGCTCTATTAGCGATTCAAAATTTACATTATCACAAAATACCGAGATTTCAGTGCAAATTTGTGCAAGATTTAACAAACTTAATTCTTATCTCTCACTAATCAGAAATGAGTCGACGATTGACGGAAAAATAGAAATGCACAATAATCACTTCTTTTTTTTTCACTGTCTTATCTGTCCTGTTCAGTAATGAACGATACGAAGGTGGGCGCAAATCTCTTGATAAAGATTTTCTTATCCGTTGTCACGGCCGAGAGGTATTTTCAGTATATATCGGTTTCCCTTCGCCGACAGATAGTAGACATCCGGGCGTGTTGTCAGTTGTCGCTCACGGAAAAACTTATTGTCGGGCATCGCGCTTACTACGAAAGAAAAAAAAGAAAGAAAAACCGGTGAGTAAAAAAGAAGTCATGTAAGAAAGAGAGAGAAATGATAATGAGTAGTACAGCGTTTCAACAACACAGATTAATATTTTTCGGACATTTTCCTCATTTTCAATCGCGCGAATAATCAATCATCAGCTGCCGCTTGTTGCAAAATCGCCTGACCTCCTCTCTTTGCTACTTCATTTTTATTTGTCTAATTAGTCAATTTGGCGCACTTCCGTTACAGTTCCAAAGTCATTTATGTCTCTATATATACATTCTTGTTTAGAAGAAATTATCTGATGGCTATTCTTTGAAAAGAAATACCGCCTTGCAAGATACACTCGACTCAAGTACTCTGAGTTAATTAATCTATTTAGCAATCACTTAATCTTTTTTTTTTCAATATTAAGATTGCACTTAAAATAGAAGGCTATAGATTTGTTTTCACTATTATATAATTTATTTGTTGTTAATTAAAGTAGTGTTATTCATTTCTAGAGATGTGCAAAATGAATATCTGAACTATTTAAAATACAAAAATTTTAAATAATTTAATCTTTTCATTTGAAAATGTAAAAAAAGGAAATGGTTTTTAGACACTTATTTAAAATAGAAAATAGAAATTATAAACATTTTTTAATGATTTTTGTAAATAAAAATGGCTTTTTAAATATTTATATTTTAATATTTATCTGATATTTAAATTCTTATTTCTTATTCTTTATATTTGTTATTATTATAATTTTAATTAATTTTCTAATTATTAACTTTTACTTAATATTACAATTTTTTATTTAATATAAACTTGGAATTACAAAAAATGTATGAAAATCAAAAAATGAAAATTGAACGTGATGCCTTCATAAGTTTTTCAAAGAAATATCCCAGTGAAGAATTTTTTTTTTTTTCGGGCGGATTAATTGGAAAAGGTGTATTACTCATTGGGATATCCCGCGTCGCGGTAGTTATCTGCTAGAGCCAACCTAGTAGTGGTGTTTTAGTGGTGTGTTAACATATATATATGTATATACCATATATATTATCTTATACATTACCATATTATTAATATCTTGATTAATTTTTTAATTACTAACATTACAGACGCGCTATTTAACATTTTTTATTTTTACTATAATTTACCATTTTAGATGGAACAAATAAAATGTATTTCAAATAGAAAATGAGTAATATAGAAACCACTTACATGAAAATGCAACATTTTTTGAAAAAATGTATTTTAAATACAAAACACTGAATGACCATTTTACATATATTCTATTTTAAATCCATTTCAAATAATGCACATCTCTGTCAAGTAATGCAATCTCTGAAGTGATTTAGAAAATATGATTCATATTTTCCCGTAAGCCTTAATTTTAATTTATTTTCTAAATCACTTCATACGCGCGCTGCCGTAACTACTCTACTACTATCCATACCATCTACTTGTCGTGTGTGCAATAAAAATGTATCTTTTCCATACGCATGAATTATTCATAAAAATAAATTTGTTTACAGTGCCGCACGAACAATTGCTTAGATAATAGCGGAGAATTGCTGCGGGAGGATCAGAAACGATTGATTTCGATTTCGGTGGACGATATATCGTGCCGTGGTGTGGATATTTTTCTTTGACGACATAAGTGAGAGCGAATACTTACAACGAATGTAACGATGAATATGAAGTGCGCGTTTCTTATCGGAGCGTAAGTGTAAAAATAAAGAGAGAAGACAATCGACCGAGTGGCGTTTCCTTTTGTCGCTAATACCACGCGCGTCGCTCTGAACGTCGTCAACTCGAAAACGTCAAACAAAATGGTAAGACATTTTTACGTCACGTGCACATTTCTCGCCTGAGAAGTTACCGCCGCTCAACATTTTTTTTATATATATATTTCTTAGAACATAAAATTTCATTTTATATTATCTTATCTACGAAAAGTTTTAATTATCATTATCAAATGTCTCCGAAGAAAACAGATTGCGAGTATGATGGATGATGCGCGAACTTCTTACCCGTTTAAAGCACTCGTCCTTCATCCGTATGCATTGCAATTTATTAATATTCACGAGGGCATTAAACTTGAACTTCTTCATGATATTGCAATAGCATTACGTAATGTCCCACTATCTTCTTGATTTAAGAACGTGAGACTGTGAGAACGGTCGTCAATTCGCGATAAGCGAGGTTCGTTCCTCGAACAAGCGAGAGCTTAAATCGGAGGCGCCGAACGCATCTCTAAAGTCAGATCCGATAAAGACGGACGAGATTATCAGGTTACCACTTATCAACCACTCCTTCAATTTCACAAAACCGATACCGTCAGAATTCCCGATCGGCTAAAATCTCAGAGACAATCTGTAACCAGCTTAAAAAAGAAATTTCTCGGTAACGATATTCGCGTATCGCTTTTAAGGCGGAAACAATAAAGCCACTGTCAACCGCGGTATCGCAGATAAATTATTTAAGCCGTTAATAATTGTGGCCTCCGTTTGAGGTGTAAATTCTTTTTGCGTGCGTGTGTATCGGCGATAATTAGCGTCCCCCTGACTTAATACGACAGCTTTTAACTGTAGTCCCGTGCCGTGCGTCCTTGCGACTCGCGTCTAGGAAGTCTTCCGGAAGCGCGATATAAAAAAACGAAAATGTAATGTGGAGTCGTTTGAGCAGAGTAATTTTCTCGTGCGCGACGCAGGGAAGCGCCGAATATTCGTGCCTGCTGGTGAGTGAGTTATTCGCAAATTCGATAATTAGAAATTAATCAATCGTGAGTGCGATTCCTCATTACTGTAACTAAATATGGACAGTATAACTAGGTCGATCGTAGACGGTTTAAAATGACAAACAACAATTTGCGGTTTCTCCTTTTACGATAAATTTCAACGATTACATTTTACAAATACATTTTCTTTAATATATATGGTTCGAAAAGTATCTTATTTTTTTATACGATGTTTCACGACGATCTTCATGTAGGCTTAATCGAGCTTCATCGCGTTTGCCAGCATGTTATAATGCTCATCCTTATAAATAATTTTGCTACCGGTCGCTGGCGCGGCCGAAGCAGGCCGACCGCCGTACTTCACGTTCTCGAGCGGAATGCCCAAGGCTAAGGCTATTCTATCTCTCACGTAAGAATAAGCACCTTGATTCTTGTGCTCCTCTTGCAGCCACATAATCTGCACACACAGAAACGTAATTCGAAAGGACCCTTCAATCGTTGCTAACAATTAAATCAATTTAATCAAATATCTTTCAAGGAATAAATGCACGCTAATCCTAGAATTGCGCGCTATATTTTCATATATACGGAAAGAACGATTTTGCTAAATTTCAAAAATTATCTTGATACAAATCTGAAAATAATTTTTTTGAATTATCAAAATAATTATATTGGAAGCTCAAAGTGATTGCTAAAATATCCAAATTTTTTTTAGCATTAATTATGAATATTGAGTTCCTAACATAATTATTTTTATGATTCAACAAAATTCTTTTGTTAGATCTTTATTCAGCTAAATTTTAGGATCTCTTTAGTAAAATTATATTCTTTCCATGTATGTGCCTTACATCTGATCTCTTGGACCCAGCCGAATTTTATACATAACTCTAATGAAAAAAATGCATATTTTTAAGTAAAGTTTTTTTTAGAAAAACACCAGAAATTGTAAACTACGTAAAATTAAGAAAAATACGTACGCAGAAAGAACGATTTTGCAGAAAAGTCTAAAAATTTTATTGTACTATATTCAAACAATTTTGTTAGAAACTTAAAAATAATGAGCATTGCTACAATACATTTTGATATTTTAGTAACCAGTTTAAATATCCTACGAAATTATTTTAATAGCCCAACAAAATTCCTTTCAGCTCTGAATTCAGCAGCAAAATTTTTAGACCCTTCAAAAAAATCATTCCGTGTAGAGTATAAAATTTTAATTGAGATCTATTTGTTAAATTGTAAAATGCTCAAAAACAAATTTTTAAGAATGCTGGTTCGAAAATTTTGCAGACCTGTTTTCAAGAATGTTTATTTGAAAATTTTGTAGACCTATGTGTGTATAGTTCTAAAATTAAATATCATTAACAAGAGCGTTAATTGAGGATTTCTCACTTTTGCTCCCGGATATTTCGTCATTTCCGCTGCCAAGGGATGGTACGGAAAAGGACATAGCTGCTCGATTCTAATGATCGCTATCTTATCTTCTAACTGTTGTTCCTGCCGCTCGACTACCAAATCGTAATACACTTTGCCAGTGCAGAGCAACACCTTCTTCACGTTTCCGGGCTTCACGAAAGGGTCCGGTAGAACGTGCTTCAAACTCGTGCCCGGTCCTATCTCCTCGAAATTCGATATCGCCATCGGGTGACGCAGCAATGATTTGGGGGTCATAAGAACCTAAATGGCATTTATGCAACGAGTCAGAGATTTAAGACTTGCCCCATTATTACAATGGATAAAAATCAACACGATTTGTCACGTGCAGATTCGATGAGTTTTGAAAAATTTGACTAAATATCTTGGAAAATTTGTTATAAATATGACGAAATAATTCAGTCGTCGATTATTGCACTTGCGATAAAAACTGAAGGACATTACGAAACTTTACCTACTATCTTATGAATGACATAATTTGCGACAATTAATAGATATAGTGTTTAATGAGGCTAATTTTTGCTATCGCTTAAAAATGGAGTATATGAAAAACGTCGAATGAACGTTAGGTATTCAGTATAGTCGATACTCGCGTATGCGAGCACATTCCACGGGAAACCGTTCTTTGCCGTTCATTTTTACGCAATGAAATATTTCACGAATCGCGCAAAACGATCTAATGTGCTGCTGAACGTAAAAGAACGTATCTCCACAGTCTTACGGGCCAATATCTTTGAAAATACCCGAGATTAGGAAAAAAGTGTTACAAGAAAAGTCACGAGGAAAATATTTAGTGCGACTAATTTTAATGATACTTATTTTTGTATTCCTAAAAAATTATTAATTATTATTATATTAATTTAATCAACTTGTTCAATTACACATTTATAAAAAATTTTTCAATATAAAAAAAAAGAAAACAGAATTTACTGCTTAAAATTTATATAACGTAAAGAGTAATATACTGTCTCAGAGAAATCTATTTTCTTAGTTATAAATTTAACTGTAAATTTTACTTAAAAAAATCGAGGTTCATTTAAAAAGGGTAAAGTGTTTGCGATGATTGACGCTCCGTTTAACTGTAACTAGAAATTTAATTTAATGAAATGAATTTAATTTAATGAATGTCGTCTATCTTATCGCGACACTTGACATCGAAAATGAAAAGTTAATAAAGTAAGAAAATTAAGTTTCTGTTATAAGAAGAAGACCATAAGTAATAATTAGTATTTTCGGGGATATTGCCTTACAAAACTCGCGGCGAGAACACATCCGCACACATATACGTGTGTTAGATAAAGATTGAACTGACCAACGGCTTGCGGAACGGCATCAATATCTGCCGGCGGAGAAGATGGAAGAGACTCGCGGGCGTCGTGGGATTGGCGACGATCCAATTGATCTCGAAAAGCTGTCTCGTCATGATTTGCTCAACGTTCTCACCGGCAGGGGCGCCGGGCTCGGTTCCGGGCACGTGAGTACAATCGTCGTCGCACAGCTGAAGAAATCTCTCCAATCTCGCGGACGAATGTTCCGGTCCCTGGCCCTCCAAGCCGTGCGGCAGCAACAGCACCAGTCCCACTTGCCTGCCCCATTTGGATTGTCCGGAGCACAGCAGGCAGTCTAGTATGACCTGCAGGAGTAATTTGGAATCGCGCGCGGCTGAGATATTGTTTTTCGTTAAATGTCGCAATTATTATTTTGTTTTGCGCGAAAATAAACGAAGATTGACGCTCCATTTAATTTTAACTTTAACTAGAAATTTAATTAAAGGAAAAGTCGTCTTATATCGCGACACTTGATATCAAAAATGAAAAGTTAATAAAGTATGAAAATTAAAGTTTCTGCTAAGGAGAAGACTGTCAGTAATAATTGTTAAAGTTACCTGACAGGTGTTGGCGAAGTCGCCGAATTGTGCTTCCCAGACTGTCAGAGTATTATGATTGTACGCCGAGTATCCCAATTCGAATCCTTTTCACAAACATTTATAAGATATTAATTACTGCTTAGTCATGAATTATTTCTTATCTTTAAATAAGCTTATAACGTGCCGCTTATATTTACTTTATTAATGAATACTGCATTTATAATAATGTACTTCTTCTGCAATAATACTGCAATTATAATAATGTACTTTTTCAAGTTTACTATTAAAATTTTCTCGAACGTAAAAATTTGAAAACAGTGTGTTTATAGCTCGTGATGAAACAAAATAAGCGTATGTATTATCGCTAAGACGTGAATGAGCGAGCAACAGGAATAGATATCGCTATCGGCACGTGTATAAACGGCCGGCTAATTTCTTCTTACCACACACGCCGTATTCCGATAGCGACGAATTCGAGACGGTGTACAGAGCCTGCTTCGGGAAAACGTCGCGCAGAATATTCTTGTAGGTCTTGTCTTTACTCTGATCGTGAACGATGTGTATCCGTTGGGTGAAGGTGCCACGTTCGACGTCTTGCCCGGACAGTCTGACGTGGTGGCCATCCTTTAACAGGCTGAGAAAAGCCAAGCACTCCCCCATCGCCCAGTCGATCTGCCGGGACTCCATAAGTTTCGTTCGCCTGTCCATCGCCCTCAGCACCTATATATGCGTTTGATAGACGGATTAAATCCAGTAATCTGAAACTTGTGTTTCGTCCTTGAACCAACGCATTTCCTTAACTAATCGCTAAAAGAGTTTGTGCAATTTAGGCGATTTGAGAAGCACCAAAGCACGCATGGAATTGTTGGATTTATCTTTTTTTTTTTTAGTCAATTTTATTTGCTAAATTCGAGAATCATAGTTAAAATAGTCTTACAATTAGTATTCGGGAAATATAATTTTGGGATATACATAATATTTAACAGAAGAAAGCAAAATGATTGATTTTATCATTTTGTTGAACGTGTCTGCAAATTTCTCTTTCAAGAAACTGAATGATTTTTTACATTAATCGATCAATTCATCTCATTATTTTGTGCATAAAAGTTTTAAGGCATAATTTTATACAATTATTGAGAAATCAGTAGTTTACGAGATATTTTATATTTTATGTCGAAAGATGGCATCATAAAGGTATAAAGTATCTCGTAAATTATTAAATTTTTGAGCTTTACTTTAATACTTTCATGTGCAGAGTAATTAAAGGAATTATACTATGTAAAAAAATCATATCATTTCATATAAAAATGGCACCCTCTATATGATCTTGAAAAATTATTTTTGAAAATTATTTTTACCATTATTTATCTCCCTTCAAATCATATAACTTTTGTCTGAAATATTTTTCTGTATTTTTTTCTGTACTTTTCGAGACATTTCGATGGCAAGTTAAAATGTATAAATAATTTAAAGTAATTTGCAGGTTTTTATATCCTGATGAGAAAGGATGAAGGATTACACGGAAAGAATAACTTTGCTAAAAGGTGTAAAAATTTTGCTGGATACAGATCTGAAAGTAATTTTGTTGGCCTATAAAAATAATTTTGTTAGAAATTCAAAAATGATGAGTGCTGCTGTAAAAAGTTTTAATATTTTAGCAACTAGTTTAAACTTCCAACAAAATTATTTTGATAGTTCAACAAAGATTATTTTCAAATCTGGATCCAGCAAAAATTTAGACTTTCCAGCAAAATAGTTCTTTCCGTGGGTGAGTATAGGCAACATTGAAATATATTTGTATAAAAACAGAAATTCACAGACATGGCACAAAATAATAAAATCAACTATTGCTTTCTTATCAATATTAAAATATTTAAAGTAATATTTTCCAGATACTAAAATTATTTTAATTTTTCGAATTCAGCAATTAAAATTGTGTAAAAAAAAAGATGAGTTCAACAATTTCTGCGTGCTTCCCAAATAACTTAAAATAATAGCTCCTTTATACAAAAGAATAAGGGGCATAAAACAAAAGGAAGATCTCGAAAACTCGCAGAAAAATTAATTGAACGTGTCAGTTATCAGATTAAAGATTTCTACGTAAGAGGGGGTAAAAAAAAGAGGATAAAAATTAATCCATTTTGCTTTCGTGATGTAACTCGTATGACTTGCAACTAACTTGAAGATGTGCCTCGATATCCTTCGGAGGAGTGGATACAGTAGTGCATATCGTCTTAATAGTCGCGATGTCGATGCCGGTCGGCGGTATCTTATTTTTCGGAGACTGATGCGAGTAGAATTCGGTCCAGGGCACGTCGTGCCAGTCGCTCATTTGCATCGAGCTGATGGTCTGCGCTTTCGCGAATTCCTCCTCGCAATGGTTCAGATACTTTTCTGTTTCCTACGCACAAGGAAAATGTGTGTGTGCACATGCGTATAACGGCAGGATTTAAAAGCATTTAAAGCAGCATTATATATTGTCTCTCTCAACCTCCTTTGCGAAAGCTTCCGTTATCACGCCTTCTTTAAGCAGTTTGTCGGTGTATATGGATAGAATACTGGGGTGATCTTTTATTCGCTTGTACATGAGCGGCTGAGTTAACATTGGCTCGTCCATCTCGTTGTGTCCGCGTCTTCGGTATCCAACGACGTCGACTACCACGTCGTTATGAAAGGTAGCCCTGGTGACATGAGTTAATAAGGCTGTCTTCTTTTCTAAATTCTTTAAATTATTTAACGCAATCATAACTTTTATAGAATAGATTTTACATTTTATTGTAAACGATTTTCAGCTTATACTGCAAAAACAGATTATTTGCCTAATTTAAGAAATTTTTTTCTTACAAACAAATTTGTGAGAAGATGTGTTTATTGCAATGTATTAATCTTTCACCGGAAAACGTGTTATCCCAAATAAATTTTTATAATAATTTATTTACCATTTATACTCTAATAAGCTTCTATTCTTTGATTAAACAATTGTAAGATTCAAAAATATGAATAAACAGCCAAAATAGAATCTCTTGGAATGATGTAATAAAGACTAAAAAAAACGAAAAACATCGCAATTTACCGATATTCGCTGGCCACCTTGCTGCAATAAGTGACTAAATCGGGATCGTCAGCATGTACGTGAAAAATGGGTGCGTTAACAACACGTGCGACATCCGTGCAATGCACACTGGATCGTGAATATCTTGGGTCAGTTGTAAAGCCAATCTAAAATTATCAGCAAATATTTAAAATAAATTATTCTCGTCTATAACAGTTTATTAACATTAATTATTTAAACTAAACTTAATTATTTAAATTACGCAAATTATTTAACGTATTATTTGATAGTTTGTCAACTATTTAAGTAAAGCTAAAGCTATATTTAGAGGTATATTAAAAGTATATTAATTAATATACCAAAGACTGATTTTACATTAACTTTAATTTTAGTTTATCTTGATGTCAATTTTTCTTTAAAAAAGTAAATTTATAAGAAGCAATTAAATTTTATATTTTAAGTCTATTTAATTAAGATTAATTAGTGTTAAATAAAATTCAAGAAAATTGTCATTTTAGAGAAACGATTATATCCCTACTTGATTGTTAATTACGACGTGTATAACGCCACCCGTTGTGTACTCCGGTAAATCGGTGAGATGCATCGTTTCGTAAACGACACCTTGGCCGGAAAAAGCGGCGTCACCGTGAACCAATATAGCCAACGATTTTTTGCCGTCTGTGAACAAGTCGGTTTATTTGAAGGAAGTCTATTATCGTCTGTTAGGAAATTACATATTTTCGATACATACACTCCGCGTCACCTTTCTCAACTTGTTCGGCGCGAACGCGACCGACTATGACCGGATCGATCGCTTCCAGGTGGGAGGCATTCGCCATTACGGCGTGTAACACCCTCTTCTTGCTTCTACAAAAGTAGCAATAAAATCAAATCGTTGATAAATGTACATATATCTATCCCTTTGTTAGAATACAAGTTTAGATACTGATTGATGCTTGAGACATTTGCATGTTAAAGTCAATTTTTGCATTGACGAATGTCTTCACCTTTCTAATAACCTCTCCGAGTGCGTTCCGAGGTGATACTTCACATCACCGGAACCGAATCCCTCGAGAGCGATCGGGTTGAACTGGGTGAACAACTGACTCATCGGTTTCGAGCAAATGTTTGCCAAAGTATTTAGACGACCGCGATGCGCCATACCGATAATTACAGTTTCAACTCCTGGCAAATAAAATAGAATAAAATAAAATAGGAATATAAATAAAATAGGATAAAATAGAGTAAAATGTAAGATAGGCACGGAAGTTCAGAAATTGCTTGGAAATCTTGCTCGAACTAACATTTGGTTCGTGGTTCGAGAATCAATTTAATTACCATTTAACGCTGACGTTTCTATGCATTCCGCCATGGATGGTATGAACGATTCGCAACCTTCTAACCCGAATCTCTTCTCCGTTCCGTACTTCTTTGCTAAAAAGTTCTCAAAACTCACGCCCCTCATGATATTCATCCAAATCCACTTTCGGTGCTCTGCAGGCAATTTCCAGACGCCTGGTATCTCAAACTTGTCCCTCAACCAATCTAACTAATAAAACACAATGAATTATAATTCTATGTATTTTTTCTACAAGCTGAAAACTGCTTTAATAATCTTTGAACACTGATCGATTTATCCTGATAGACATAAAAATTCTTTTGTGTTTCCTATGACACAATGATTTTTTTAACTCTGACTCTTTGTGTCACGAATTTTTATATTCGATTTTTTTGAAGTTTTGTATCCGGGAGATTTTTCGGGTCGCTGATTACAAATTCAGAAATCAGAATTTTTTAATTCAAAATTTTTTCATTTTTGACCCATCATATTGGTTTCATTTTGGATTTAATTTGGAAATTTTTACTTTAGATTAGGATTCATTCATTAAAAAAAAAACCCGTAGAGCACGATTATAAGAAATACTCAAAACTATTATATTTGGCTTTACAGTAAATATCGATTTTTCCATATTTTTTAAAGATTATCAATTTATAATAGAGAAATAACAAAAATTGGAAAAAATCAGAAAGAATTCTAAAAAATACTTTAAGATATCCTAAATGAGTGCCTAAATTGCCGCTTTAATTGATAATAGTTTAGTAGAAAATGCATTTTTTTAAAAAGAACGCAAATTTTGACTTGTTTAATTGTAGTAATTACGCAAATAGAAATTTATGATTGCTCAATTTGTTTAATATTTGTGTTCATGTTTTAAGAACTTTATGAGAATAAAAAAACCGGTTACTTAATGTCAAGAAATTAAAAATTCAAAATAATTAAAAACTAAGCTGAAAAAAGTGGGACGCTGAACGTTCCGTCATGATGCAAAAGGTTAAAATCACTTTCAATGAGCACTTTTCCACGTGTTTGTTTCTCTTTGCTATCTTTATATTAATTATCGAGCTAAAGACTGATTTCGAACAGATATTTTTTATCTGTACACATATAGACTGTAATCAGTACGAAACAGCAGTTTTGTAATCTAATCTACCAATGAACATTTACACGACAAGCGCAAAATATCACGTTCAAGTACAATACAATCTTTCAAGAACGCGTTCGAAAGCTATTCTGCAAATACAATCGATATGATTACTGCTGATTTTATAGCGGAATCTTACTTTCTCAGCCACAATCGATCAAAGCGAACAAAGTGCGATAAAAGTATTCACCATTTATGTGCCTTTTATCTTAATACCTTTTTATTTTTTCAATTAAATAGTTAGATATTTATTTTATGTTAATTTTAAATTTACACTGGCTGTAAAAATGCTCTCGATCACAGACTAAATTTAATTTTTTTATTCATCGCTGAAGAAAACCTGAAGGAGGTCGAAACGTTCGAGAAAGAAATTCTGTATGTAACCAACGGTTACATTTTTAACTAAAATTTTCTACGTATCAATTTCTGCGTTGTTTAGATTCTTAAAGCCTGATTTTATGTTTATCTTTTCACCACTTGTCTCTTAATTGAAATCGCGTCATATACCTACCACATTGAGGTCGTGAATATACGTGTACTCGAGGCCCAGGTGGCCGCAGTAAACCTCGTTGAGCCTCTTCAGTATCTCCCGCAGCGGCAGGCTCCTCTTGTCGCCCCCGATAACGGTCAAGGGCGCGAGGGGAAACTCCCTGTCCATGTCCGCCTCCGTCATCCCCTTGAGATGCTGCCGCACCACGATCTCGGGCGGCAGGTTCGCGGTGCCCTGCAGCTTTGCCGACTCCGGATTCTGTATGCCCAACGGATCGGTGTCGGCTATCAAGTGGCCGCGTGCCTTCGAGCGGAGAATAAAAGGAGTAAACGTCGATGTAACGGAGGAGACGCAAGAGCGTGCAAGAATCTCGATAGGAGGGATATAGGTACTTGATAGGCACGGATCGTCGCAGTGATATCGAGCGCGCTGCTTATGTATTGATCCCCCTGCATCTGGCTGTCCGATTTCTCCCGAACGAACCCTTTCAACAACGGTCCTGTTAGACGTTTATCCGAAAACATGCGATTAGTAGTTCTAATCTTGACTCACAGAATGCATTTATAATTATTATGGATATAATAAACATCATTATTACATTACTGTGTTAATATTTCTCTCCTGCAAAATTAAATATGGGATAATTTTTTAAATTATCGTGTAGCTTTAAATTTTAATAATTTTTACATTAGATTACATGAAAATTAATTCACTATTCTATAAATTGTATAAATTATGATTGACATTAATATTGTGATTTTAATATTAATTATATCAATGTCAGTCTAATGACTATAATGGGATTTATCGAAACTCACTCTTGCCCGATTGCCCGCCTTCTTTCGATGCTATTAACTTAGGAGACGAACTGACGCGGCTCGAACTGATGGACTTGACGCGGGCGTCCTTAGGGCGGCTTTCCGCGTGGATCAGTTTAAAATACGAGTCCCACGAGGAACTTACGGACTTTCGATCCTCGAGCCATGTCTTGTACATGTGATCCAAGTATTGATTATTGATCATGTTAAGCACATTATCCTTTCTATTATCGTCGTGTTTATGACGTATATTTTTGTGAAATTGCTCGGCAACTGATCCGCACTTAAGGTTTTTCCAGCTTGTGTGAAGATAGTGTGCGAGCCGTCGGGATAAGCACGGTGGGACGGATCGCGCGCTCCGATAACATTGCGCCTTCGCGTACATCGCCGTCCCATTTGTCGCCGCGGCACAGGCGAGTATTGGAACGCGCGAGGAAATAATGAAGTTTGAACCGACCGAGAAATTTTGGAAATTCGATCTTGCGAACCGATCGAACGAACAGATAATTTTATGCACGATGTTAATTAATTTATGTCATCGTGTGGACTCCGATTAACCTTTCCGACCTCCACATTATGGTTGTCGCTAAATTCGCGATTGATCTTTGTTTCGGATGAGGGCTCAGAGCGAGACTTGAAACAAAATTCACGTTCCTATCGCGTCGAAATTTCCTCAAAAGCATTTTATAAATTGCATTTTCGTCCACGCATAGCGATCCCGTTTTCTTCGAATTATTCAACAGAATTTATTTTTAAAGCATATTACTTGAAATGTAATTTTATTTCGATGTATTTAATTTATATTCGATACATTTCGATGATGCACTTTAATTTAATGTGATTTAAAAATTATTTGATATTTAGTTTTATTAGTTTTTTAAAGTATTTAAAATACCGAGATTTAAATTAAAATTTAAAAATAATGTATTATATACAATTAAGTAAAACTAAATTTGATTGATTCGTATAGGTTTATACTGCTTATCTGAAAATCACTTGTTTAGATTTAATTCACAACTACATCCAAATTATATGCTAACGCTTTTATAACACGCTTTCATTTACAGGGTGTGACACATTCGGCACTCAGCAACCACAGAGTCGTGAAGATTAATTCTGAAAACGATTCGCAGGAAAAACATTTCGTTACCAATCGAGTGAAATCGCACAAGGTATTTGTTATTTCCTGCATCTTATAAAATTTAAAAGGTTTAATAAAAGTTAGAAAGATTTAATATTAAAAAATTCAAGTCTTAAAGTAACATCAGTTAACGTTTAACTGATAATCTCAAGAAAAATATTGACTATTGCCATTCTTAGAACACTCGTCTAAAAATACTTATAGATACACAATCGCATTTATCTCTGTTTAATTTGCAGTACACAATATGGAACTTCATTCCAAAGAATCTCTTTGAGCAATTTCGACGAGTGGCGAATTTTTATTTTCTGCTCTCGACGATAATCGCGGCTACGACAGAATCGCCGGTCTCGCCAATAACCAGCGCCTTACCTCTATCGTTTGTCATCCTGGTGACCGCGTGCAAACAGGGATACGAAGATTATCTGCGTTACAAGACAGATAAACGAGATAATCGGAGATCAGTCAGTGTTATCCGTAACAAATGTTCGCAGGTTTGTCACGCGTTTGTCTACGCTAATTATTATGACATCTCAGTTAGTTTAAGAATTTTATTGATTTTAACGCTTATAATGAAACAGAAACAAAATCTTTAATATATATTTACAAATATTTTTAATGTATATACTATATATATATATATATATATATATATATTTACAAAGTACTGCATGTTTGCAATTTATATTACGTGTCTCTATTATAAGATTTTTCAATTTATCTGTTTCCGACTTAGGAATTAAAGTAAAGATAAGATAATAAAATAATTTCTAACAACTTAAAATCATTAGATATGTTCTTACATAAATAATACATGATATACGTTTCAGGATATATATTGCGAGCAAATAATGGTGGGTGATTTTGTGAAAGTCTCTCGGGACGAGGACGTGCCCTGCGATATCGTCCTCCTTTACAGCGAGACTCCGGGTTGTTGTTACGTCACAACGTCTAATCTCGACGGCGAAACGAACTTAAAGGTAATTACCATTAAACGTGATTTTTTTTTTAAACGAAACGCATTTCGGCAAAACTTACGCCACAGGAAATTAAAATTTGTTTATATCTCCAGAAGTATTCTTTGCCGTAATCACTTTTACCGTTATTGCAAACGTAATGATTTTAGACGTTACTCGTGCCGAAAGTGGTCTCGACGATGACGCTGCAGGAAATAGTGGCGATGCAAGCGACGATTACGTGCCAGCAACCTATGGCCAACCTTTACACCTTCCAAGGCAAGCTCGAGATTAACGACGACGGCGGCGGGACTAGCGGGCACTTGACAATAGACAATCTTATGCTGCGCGGATCGAGGCTGAAAGACACCGAGTACGTGGTCGGCTGCGCAATTTACACCGGGCAGGACACAAAATTGTCGCTCAACTCGAAGATAATCAGCAACAAATTCTCCACTGCCGAGAAGTAATTAAAGTCTAGGCTTCATTTATACATACAAAATTCAGGCCAATATCGCTATTTATTCAGCACAACATAAAATCTAAAATCGGAACAATTTAAAGACGTTTGAAAAACGTCTTGAAGGAGTCTTAAAGATATCTTTGCAAAGAACGTCTGAAAGGAGTCTAAAAAACATTTTATAGAGACGCTCGATTTTGGACTTTATGTTGTGTCTGGGTAGCTTCCGCTAAATTTCCCGTTTCACTCGTTTGCATTTTTGCTATATAGCACCGTCGCCTTCACGAATGCAACAGCCTTTGCAAACAGCTTAAAGAAATATTTCTACACGGAAAAAACAATTTTACTGAATCCAGATCTGAAAATAATTTTTGTTCAATAATCAAAATAATTTTGTGCGAAACTCAAAGTGATTGCTAGAATATCAAAACGTTTTATAGCAATGCTCATCAGCTTTAACATTCCAACAAATTATTTTGATAATTTAACAAAAAATTATTTTCAGATCTGTTTTTAGCAAAATTTTTAGACCTTTTAACAAAATCGTTCTTTCCGTGTATCTAAAGATAATTAGCAGTTCGACTTTACACTTATCCGAACGTTATTGTTTCGTAGATCTATCAATAAGTACCTTATTGTATATGTCGTAATACTGTTGACCGAAGTGTTGGTGTGTACCATGCTGAAGCTGTATTCCGAGACCTTCCAACGATGGGAGATTTACCTAGGTCCACAGCCCAGAATCACTTTTAACTCGTTAGTCACGGATATTCTGAGCTTTCTTATCTTGTTCAATTACATCGTGCCGATATCATTGTACGTCAGCGTTGGTAAGACATTTCTACTTGCACAATTCTTTCATATTGAAATTGTTTAAATTTCTACTTGGTATGAAATTATTTATTAAACAATCAAAATTATCTAAATCAATATATTTTTCTCTCCCGAATCACACTGCGTTCGTGTTTAAAAACGTGTATATTTATAACAAAATGCGTTTGTAAGAGTAATATTACTACTTTGATCTATGACAAAGATTTATTCGTGCATCTCAACAGAATTTCAGAAGTTCTTCGGCTCCTTCTACTTCGGCTGGGACTTAGACATGTACGACAAGGCCAACGATCAGCCGGCGATCGCCAATTCGTCAGACTTGAACGAAGAGCTCGGCCAGGTTGAATATCTGTTTACCGACAAGACCGGCACGCTTACGGAAAACCTGATGATATTCAAACGTTGCTCGGTCGACGGTAACGTGTACATAGAGAAAGATTGCGACGGAAATCTTTACTTGTTGCCACCAAACGGAAACGAGCAGGAGGCCGTCAAACAGGCGGCATGGGAGGTAAAAAAAAAAAGGAAATACCGATTATCATTAAAAAGATTATCAATAAAGAGAGAAAATTACGATGTTATTTATATGAAAAGTTATACCGACCGTAAATGTATATCAATCGCCACGCGATTTGATACAAGAGTAATTATATGCACGGAAAGAACAATTTTGCTGTTTCCAGATCTGAAAATAATTTTGTTGGAAACTCAGAATAATTGCTAGAATATCAAAATGTTTTATAGCAATGCTTATCATTTTTAACATTCCAACAAAATTTTTTGATGATTTAACAAGAATTAATTTTCTAGATTATATTCGGTAAAATTTTTAGACCTTTCAACAAAATCATGTTTTCCGTGTGTATATTAATTACCATGTCAATATTTGACGGCAATTATTTACAAGTATTGAATTAATTAATGATAATAATTGACGCTAATTATAATTAATAATATAAATAATAATCAATAACGGGTTACAGTAGTACTTGTCAAGAGCAATAATTTCACTGTTATTAAAATATCCACGATTTTAGAAGGACATTTGGCACTTCATGATAAGCATATCGCTATGCCACGTGGTCCAAATCGCGCCGCCGAGTCGACGTCCCGAGATCATAGCCCGACGCACTCAGTTCCGCGAGAGCTTCAGATTGAAAAAAATCACGAGAGTCAACAGCTCGTTGATGATGCATCCGGATCTGCCGGAATATCAGGTAAAAATTAGCGACTCGCGTGTGTAAACGCCGAATTCGCGATAGCGTATTCGCCCGATAAAGCTCCGCTAATGAACTCTCGTCTCGTAAAACGGAGCGTAAACGAAACGCGATTAAATCCACGTAAAGAGGTATATAAACACGCGTGACATGTGGCAGGCGGCGTCGGCAGACGAAAAGGCATTGGTGGAGGCGAGCGCCAGGTGCGGCGTCATTTTGCAAAAGAATACTAATGACGAGATGCACATCAAGATCAACGAGAACAATCTGGTCTTCCAGAAGCTGGAGATGCTGGAGTTCACCTCTGGTACGTGAATATCAGGATAGTTCGGTGCCGCATAATCTGAATAATCTCTAATTGAGATCGAATAATTAATAATAAACAGACAGATAATTAATTATAGACAGACAATGAGAAATAGTTTTAATAACGATAAATAGCGATATAATAGGGCTAATATTAAGTTACCTTTCACAGAGCGCAAAAGGATGTCAGTAATAGTGAAGGACACGGCCGGGGATATCTGGCTGTACTGCAAGGGTGCGGATTCTTCTGTTATGCCATTGATAACTGAAGGAACGATACAAAAGGCCACCGTTCACGTCGAGGATTTCTCTATGGTTCGTTATCCCGTTTGCGATAAATCGCAGAAAGCTAAAGCGAAAACTGCCGAGAATATTTTCGCTTTTTTTCTTACGACAATTTTGCGAAGAATTTTTTTATATCCTCTAATATTTGTTTTGCAATACTATTGCAACTGTGTTTCACATTGAGGAAGCCATTAGAATCTCTGAATCTTTTCAGAGAGGCCTGCGAACGCTGGTGGTGGCATGCAAAAAGATGAAGCAGCCCGAGTACGAGAGCCTGATGCAGAACGTCGAGCAGGCCAGGCAGATAATCGGCCCGGAGAGAGAGACGTCTGTAATGCGCGCGTACAATCTCATGGAGAGCGGGCTCACCTTGCTCGGAGTAACTGCGGTCGAGGATCGCCTGCAGGACAAGGTGCAAGAGACCTTGGAATGCCTGCGAGTCGCTGGCATCAAGGTTAGTTCATTGCACCGCCTTTGTATGGACTGTTAAAGAAATTTTTTTTACTTCGCATACCTTCGAATATCGCTTCTATTTTGTCAATCGTTTTATCGGTTTTCGAAATTATATGCTCTACATTTGAACTTTTAACTTTCCAATTAATTTAATGCATTTCTTTACATATTACTTTTTGTTATTTTAATATATCCCTTCGCCGTAGAGCCAAATAGATAAATAGTCTAAATTTCGAACTATATAACTCTAAGGCGTAGCTCATAATGGGGTTTCATACAACATCTATCAAAAGTTCGAAGACTCTTCCGTCAGTTGAGATAGACTATTCAGAAGCGCATCAGGCAAACATGTGTAGCAGCTGTTTGAAAAGAATCATCATTGTCTTCAGATGTCAGAATATAAATACCTTTTCAGACAAAGGTATTTATTTTGACATCGCACTACAAGAAGAACGATTTTGCTGAGAAGTCTAAAAAAATTTACTGGATACAGATATGAAAATAACTCTTGCTGGACCATTAAAATAATTTTGTTGAAAAGTCAGACTGATGTTAGAATATCAAAACGTTTTATGTTTCATCATTTTTTCAGTTTCCAACAAAATTATTTTTAGATCCAAATTTTTGGATCATTCCAACAAAATCCTTCTTTTCGTGCAGACATTTTTTATCTCAATTAAGTACCACATTTTAGGAGTATCACCCACTAACTAAAAAAAAGTGTCAAACAATGAAAAAGTTATGATTTTTTAAAATGTTATAATTTATTTTGTCTTCAAGAACTTTTTTTAACATATTTCCACTTGATTCATTACGTTATAATTAATGAAACATATTCTATAATATTTAAAATATGTTCCATGACTCTTTTGTTCGAATCAGATAGTCTTAGAATGGCAGCCATTCCAAAATCAATTTTGCTAATTTGATTCAATGTGGCTACCGCGAAATGTGAACAGAGATACGACAACAAAGAAATATTATTCAGTTGTTTCAATATTAGAGGATTTAAACATCCAGATTTTTATATGATCATATTCCATATGTCAAAATATATAACTTCTTAAAAATATAATTTAGTCTAAAATGTTAAAAGCAGTTCTAATTAATTGGATCAATTGAATCAGCTTTGGGAAATAATTGTAAATATATTTTTTAGATATGGGTGCTTACTGGAGATAAGGCAGAAACTGCGGAGAACATCGCTTTCCTGTGCGGTCACTTCAAGAAAGGTACCGAGGTTCTAAAATTAATGGAGGAAACCTCAGGGCAAACCTGCTGCCTGGTTCTCACAACTATCGAGTAAGTGCAGTTTGCAGATTTGCAATTTTATTTTCAAATATACTGACGCGTGTATCCGAAGGACGAAAAGAGCGCTTTAAGAAGAGTTTGTAATATAATTTAAAATGTAGGAATTTTTTTGAAGAAATAAATGTTCACAATAATTTACTTTAAGAAAGATACAATTATAAATCTTTGGACGATTCGAATATATATATATATATATATATATATATATATATATATAATAGAAAGTCATTTGCGCTCGCAAATCGGTTTGTATAGTATGATAAACATCTCGTTTCGTGTCAATATAACATTAATTATGATCTCTTTGAAATCACTCGACACTCGTATATAACTCTTTAGTCTCTTTGATTATTCAGCACTCGTATATACATTTCTTTATCGCGAACTCTTTACTCGTGAACTCTTTCTTATCTCAACTGTACCCTTAATGCGGACTCTTTTCCGAAATTCTCGCGATGTGCTACGACACCACGCGGATTTTCACGAACGCGTTTCTCGATCATCGATTGCATCGGTACGACTCGATACTCAGTACTTTTCATTTTTCCACAATACTATATTAAATCTTTATTAAATCTTCCAGACGGAAAATAAAATTGGAACCATACAAGCAGTACGGATTGATAATAGACGGTACCAGCATGGCGGCGACGTTACGAAACTGCCCAGAATTATTTAAATCCGTCGGAATGGCCTGCGAGGCGGTCGTTTGTTGCAGGCTGACGCCTCTGCAAAAGAGCGAGGTTCAAACTCCCTTTCTCGAGTGCTCTGTAAAGAAGCGCGGGAAAGTCATTATAGGAATGTCAAATACGCCTTTTATCTCCGTAGATTGTGCACCTGATAAAAACGGCACGGAACCGTCCGCACACTGCAGCTATCGGCGACGGCGGTAACGACGTCTCGATGATACAGGAGGCGCACGTGGGTATCGGGATATTGGGGAAAGAGGGTCGCCAGGCCGCGATATCCGCCGACTTCGCCTTCAGCAAGTTCAAATATCTGAGAAAAGCGTTGCTGGTGCACGGGCACTGGTATTACCTGCGCATCAGTTTCCTGATGCAGTTCTTCTTTTACAAAAATGTGGTGTTCATAACGCCGCAGGTGCTGTTCGGCATACACAACGGCTTCTCCACGCAGGTAAGACAACGTGTCCGTCTATTTCTCTCTGTTGCACGTCGAAAATCCCGTTCTTATCGTCGTAATAAGTGAATTGATTTTCTTCGTACATTGGATTTAAAGCAAGCGAACGATTCACGAATTGATATAGATTTATTATTTAGCGTTTATATATATATATTTTTTTAATAAATTTTATTATTTGGCAATATTACATCATAAAAAGAATTATTCTTATTTTTATGGAAATTGTGAAAGAGAATAAATCTCTACACGGAAAGAACAATTTTGCTGAATCCAGATCTGAAAATAATTTTTGTTCAATAATCAAAATTATTTTGTATGAAAGTCAAAATGATTGCTAGAATATCAAAACGTTTTATAGCAATACTTATCAGTTTTAATATTTTAGTAAATTATTTTAATGATTCAAAAAACAATTATTTTCAGATTTGTTTTTAGAAAAATTTTTAGACCTTTCAACAAAATCGTTCTTTTCGTGTAGTATTTATATAGATTTTATAGATGGAGAATATTTGCATTGCAAACATTTTTATAGGAACTTTATGACGGTATATTTCTAATGGGTTTCAACTTGATATTCACGTCGTTTCCGATAGTGATATATGGATTATATGAGCAGAATTACAACGCGAGGAAACTCATGGAGCAACCGTACTTGTATAAACTGAATAGAAACAATTATTTAATGTCAAGACAACAATTCGTGGCCTGGCTGTTCCTAGGTTTGTGCAATATTTGAGATAGAATAATAGATAGATTGAATAGAGATTATATTATTTTATTATTAATGAATGCAATATTTGAGATAGAATAATAGATAGATTGAATAGAGATTATATTATTTTATTATTAATAAATATTATTTTTTGTAAGCCGTAACGTTTACATAAAATAAAATAAAATTAATCGTAGGGCAATGAGAGCGTAATTATAAAAATTAACAAGAATTGATAAAATAAAATAATATATTCGTGACTTGCAAATGAATCTTTTATAATCTCCTTACATAAAGAATTAACGACAGGTATCCGACTATATCATATTATTTTCAGGATTGTGGCACACCGTCATAACTTATTTTACAGTATTCGCTGTGACATACATCAATCCAACGTATCTACACGACAACACGACGGTTGATCACTGGACATACAGCACATGCATTTTTCATATAGTTACTTTGCTAGCAAATCTGCAGGTACGTCACTACATAGGCGTTGTTTGTACATTCGATTAAAGTTATAAAAGTGGTTTACTCTGAACCCCAACGCACACAAACGAATCAAATTCAATAATTCAGCCATTTCAGTGCTCTTAATCGGTAAAATTTATATCTAAATTTATTCGCGTAATTTAATAACTCGACAATTTAATTATAATTTAATTGTAATTCGATGAATTATTTTGGAAAATGTTTTAATTGATTTACTCGTTACAACGACAATATATTATTTCAGATATTGTTGCGCAGTTTATATTGGACAATCCCACTCTTTCTGAGCGTGTTGCTATCTGAATTAGTATTTTTCGCAAGCACCTATATCTATTCAATCGTAAATTTGTAAGTACAAAATCCGCGACGATGCAACACATTAATTTATATTTGCATGTGAATGAATCATGTCTGTTCAAAAATCCTACTTGCAATTCGTACCTTTTCAGAAAATACGACGGCGATATGTCTGGGGTCTTTGAAAAATTATTACAGTCACCTTCGTTCTGGTTGATTACTGTATTTATCATTGTTACCTGCTTAATACCCGATTATTTATGGATGACGTACAACACGTACAGGCCATTGAAGATCCTCCGTAGAAACGAAGAACCTCCGCGAATTATCATTTGCAGCGACGACAACAGCGATAAATCTTCCAATATGGTAACAATGAAAAATGAATGCAGTTAACGCAATTTTTACGTTATTGAGCTATTCTCTCTCTCTCTCTCTCTCTCTCTCACTTACTCTCTCTTTGAGCGGACGGATATTTGGAGTTTCGGAAATAGATGCGACCGTTTACAAAACTGACAACCACAGACCGAGAATTTAAATTAATAATGTCTGGTGCAATATATGTATAAAGTCTATATTTAGATGGAGCCAGCTATTTAACGCTAGTATTCACATTTAATTTTAGACTGACTCTAGACTGGTCTTAAGCGTTAAGTTTCTACTAACTAAGCTTTTGCAGGCTGCAAGCTATTCCTCTCGATTTGAGACTTGCATGAATTGCAATTGTTTAGATTCAATATATAGTTTTTTAGATATAGATATACTTGTGTTTAAAAATTGAGAATTAATTACTTAGAGAATAAAAAATTTAAAATTGATTACCTGTAATCTAAAATCTATAATTGATTCCACACACATATATATATATCTGTCACAAATTATATTGAAAAAATAGTACATTAAGCTTATGTTTTTACAGCAATATCAATCATTAAAGAAATATAATTTAATTTATCAGGGACGTCGTGTGTTTCCATGGAGAGGTAGCTTTTCGTTGCAGAGAAATAAATAATACGCTGGAAAAGCAGTCATTTGAGCGCTTCAGTATTATTCACACGAATGAAGAAGTGATTATCTGAAACGGTACTGTATTTATGATTCATAGGTACAATTTAAAGTACGACTGACAACATCGTATCATTAGATGAGCGTAATTGATATGATAAAATCATAGTCAAGACTCTTAATGAGTACAGTTAACAGTAGCACTTTTTAACTGTAATAAACGTTGAATGAGTCTAAAGGCGATTATTTAGATACATAAATTATTTTTTATTATAATATTTACAGAGAAATAATATTAAATATTAATAGTAATAATTATAATTAATTAATATTTATATTTATGAGACAAAAGGATGGAACGTTTAGCGAATATCTAGGCATGATATTCGCAAATCACGGTTCACAGCGAGATACTAGTCGATAAAATTAATTATTTTTATACAGGCAACTAGCTATGCGTAATGATTGCACAGATACAAACAAATGTAACATTACTATATATCTGTAATTATTACTATTCACCAAATATAATTGTCTACAAGTTTTTATTAAATATAGTTTTAACAGAATGTAACAATATTATCAAAAAAGAAAGATTTTTCTTATAATTAAGTTTTTTAATATAGGTACGTATATACATTTATTGAAAATGATAGATATATGCATAAAATATTTATTAAATTTATTATATTGCAATATTAATATTGTGGCAATCAAATAATTAAATATAATAATTAACTTTTTAGCGCAAAACACACCTTATTGAATAAGAATTTTAGTAATAAAAATACATATGTTTGCATTAATTTACGAGAATGAATAGTATGAATGTGTTTTCCATAGTTGTGCAGATTAAAAAACGTTTTATAAAGCTAATCTGTGATTTTAACAGAAAGATTTCTTAATAGATTATATATATATATAGGTATATATATATATATATATATATATATATGTATTTGTTAATATGTACAAATGTTAATATGTAATTTTATGTATAAATTGTATATATGACAAATATTAATTACGCCTTATAATCAATATATATGTATATGTACACACATATATATATATATGTACATATATGTGAAATTTTGTAATAAGTTTATAAAAGGTAATACATAAATTTCTTATTTACATAACATCTGCTTTTAATTATTTATGATGTTAATCAACATAGATTAAATAAATGTAAAGTGCAATTTTTATTTCCCGATTGATTAATTCCTATTCCTTCACTAAAATTAAAATTATTTCCTAAAAATTATTGATATACTCGTAGATAGATTAGATTAGTTTTCTTAAATAGATAGTAGTTAAATTAAATGATTTATCCGTTAACTAGATTATATTAAAAAGTTCTCTTTGGTTGAAGAAAATATGCACCAAAGTCTCCGGTGGCGGCAACCTTGCTTTATTTCTGCTGAAATTTTTTTCCGGTTTCATATCCATTCTTAAATAGACATGTTAAGCAGCTTAAACATAGCTCAAATTGGCCAAGTTCCTTAGCAATTTAATCTAATTTTATAAATTATCACCGTTAGCAATTTAATTTAATTTTATAAATTATGTTATCGCTGCGTATTGACATTTCGTGTTCCTCTTCCTGCCATTCCCCTCTACATATATTAGCCATTGTTCTTCCTCTCAGTAAGCCATATGTGGATCTGAGGAGGACTTTACGAAAATTTTTGGTCGGATTCCTCTGCTGAAAATACGCGAAGTTCCAGACATGCAACATTGTACTTTTAGAAGACAGAAGGGAAAAGAAGGACGTGTACAGTGTAGAATTTGGCTAATTGCGAGCTACATCGTGCGAAAAATATTTCTATATTTAAATATCACGTAACGGCGATTCGATAATAAAATCAGAGCAAACGCCCGCCGCGAGCGTATGACGAGGTCTTGATATAGTTCCGCAAAACAAATATCCCACCGGCATAGCATTCGCTTTTTACGTATACAATCGAGTACCAGCGGTATTAGAAATAATGCATACGGAAATGAACTGGTGCTGACAGTCCTACATCAGCGTCCCGACAAGTAACACGTGAATATGCGATCGCGAGTGTAACCGGTCGAGCGTGAGCGATCGTCTAATTTGCTTGTCGTCCGGCGCATACCTGAGATCATTTCGAGCTTGAAGTATTAAACAGTATACCTATATCATCAGACGCCTTCTTTAAGATTATCATGATTCAAACTTGACAGAGAATCAAGCGAAGCGCTCGCTAAGTTCTCTCATTCCTATCTATCTTTCGTATTGCAAAAATGTTGGCGACCATTTGGAAACCATTCATATAAGTGTTACATACGTTATATATATGTTACATACATTATACAGCACATTGTACACATACACGGAAAGAACAATTTTGTTGAAAGGTCTACAAATTTTGCTAAATACAGATCTGAAAATAATTTTTGTTCAATAATCAAAATAATTTGTTGGAAAGTTAAAAATAATAAGCATTGCAATAAAACGTTTTGATATTCTAGCAATCATTTTGACTTTTCAACAAAATTATTTTGATTATTGA